TTTTGATTCGGGAATGCAATAACATAGTTGTAGGAAATGTCAGAAATTGTAAAGGAAATTACAGTAATAGAGAAATTGAAGAGTTGAAAATATGTTTTGGAAATTCTGAGTATATGTGAAGTCGCAAACCTTTTATGCATTGTAAAAATAGTGTGAAGTGCGTGATGATATGAGAGGAAAGATACGCCTTGGACAACAAGAAATTAGATTACTACTACAGTATGTTCAACCTATTAAGGCAATGCAGTGGCGTATCTGCATTCCTCCTGGATGTGTCAAACTTTTGACACCAGAAGAGCAACATACCTCTCTTTGGATGGCAAAAAAGTCTCCTTGAAATGTCATGAAGAGTTAGTTGACATTAGAATCACTATAGCGAAACATAGTTGATCGGTGTACCCACCAGATAAAAGTGAGAACAGTGACAGAAAAGAGCTGAAAGATATACATATTCTTTTTCGTTTACACTGATAAGTGAATTTAAGATTTTTAGTCATCTTCCTTAACTGACCCACCCATCTACACTTTGGAAAAAAGAAATTGCTTCTAAGGTCACTCAGGAGCAGTAATGTATGTGCAATTGACGTCTGCCCTGTTGGTTTGGCTACCATCTCGTGTGCGCGTTGTCCTTGAGTGACTGTGCCTTTTTGGAACTGGTTCATTGATTCCTATCACACTTAATGCCTACGTATTTTTTAACACTTTCTTGGTTGAACCTGGTGTAGCATTTCATAGTGAACTGTGCAGTTCAAATCCACTGAAAGTAGCGTTTGAAAAAGGCGCCAAGACTGTTGGGCACTGTTGTTTTGCATAAAAGTCAAGGGTAGAGTGTTTTGTTTCCGTTGCCGTCTGGTTCCTTGTGACATCTGGAGCAGCAAGATTGATTTTATTTTCATTAGAAGCTCCACAAATAAATGTTGGGTCCATACTAGTGGGCATCTGTCTGGGGTCAGTCGATTTTTCTTCTTTTATTTGTCCAATGGAATGCTCCCTGATTGGCTCTTACTTGGACATCAGCAACAAAAATTGCTTAATACTGTCACGAGGAGAGAATCAACAAACAAATCAGATTCCCACAGATGGAGAAATTGAGCATAATGCACCACCACTGGTTGCTGCACCAAACACATTACGGAAGTATGCGGCCCAACGGGGCGCGCTTCCTGAACTCTGCATCTGACTGCTTCTCGGGTGAAGAACAGGTTAGGTTGTTCATCATGCATTGCTCACAGTCCAACCAACAAACAGGCAGATGGTTTGTAGGCTCTTTCATTCAATCCACCAAAATCTAAAGCTCACAGCTTAACTTTCAGACAACATTTAGGTCAGTTGGCATTAGCAGTTAAGCAAATCAAAGTTGATTCATGCTCAGCTGAATTGAATTGTAAAGCAGACATGATGTCAAAAAGCATTTACTTCAAATTCTGCCTGAGTTGAACCAAATTTTGTGTTCAGCAGCACAAACGCTTGACGTGACATTGCCAATTTGAATGTCTACGTTCCTCTGATGACTTACAGAGCCTTCTTTATTTTGCTCACGTTTGATGACCAAGTCCTGTTTTGCTGAGACATGGTCGTTCAATCAGTTTTATGCAGTACCTCGTTAACAGAGTGGCCTCCCGGTGACCTATGCAGCTTCCACTGTCAAAGCATATTGCAGTTGTTCGTTACTTGTTCTTGGAATCAAGTAACCAGGGTTCTTCCTGGAGGAAGTGACAAAGCATCAGCTAAACCCAGCTTCAGTTTTTCCAGCCCTCTCAGCTGAAATCAGTACAATGGGCAAATGTGAAGACGATATACTTAGAATGCTGGTATACTTATTCAAGTATACCAGCCACGACGCACCCTCCATTCTAGCTCAACATTGCTGCTCAATACACCGGTCACTCGCACTAATACTTATGGACATCGTTCCTTCATGCATCACCATCGCTATGGAACTCTCTTCCTCACCATATGAGAACTGTCAATTTAAAGCGGTTCTCAAAACTTACCTGTTCTATTCATTGCTCTTAATTGTTGTTTCTTGTGAAGCGCATCAAGACTTTGGTGTGATGCGCTATATAAAACTGTGTTATTATTATTATTATATCAGCAAATCACCTGCAAGCTGTTGCTTTGACGTTATATTTTATTCACTGTAACATCCTTCCTCAAGGAAAAGAACTTGCCTTGTTATAATGAGGTCAGACATTTTACTGGGGTTTCTTCAAGAAGTTTACCTCCAGACAGGCAGATTTCTGTGGTGTTAGTTTAGGTCAATTTTTCCCAAAACCAAAGAAACAGAGCAGAAAAAAATACAAAGCTGTGGATTGACTCAGGAGCCTAGGACATCATGGGCAGAAACTCTGTGCCTTGCCCCGGACTCCCTCCCTAAATACTGCCCCCCACGGCCTGATACCTTGATGGGTGTTTGTCAACATCGCCTGGCCTCCCAAAGGCCTTACGAAACCGATTCTCAGATAATATGGAAGAATTTATTGCTTTGAGAAAACCCGAGGGGAATTTTTGCTGAAGTAATAAGAACATTCCTGTGGTTTATCCTATCACAGTGGGAACAAAAATCTGCGGATGTCTTGCACTTTGCCAGAGAATCTATTCAGCAAATTTTTCGTTGCATTTTTAATAATTAGCCAAGCAGGATTACCCTTAAGAGAGGCCAAAATATAGAACTGTATACCAGGCTTGTATGTTCATGTATACTTTTGCATTGTATTGTGTCCAAAGAAGGGTTTACCATCTTATATTTTAGTGTAATTTTCACTGTCTTAAACTTTACACTTGTCTGCATTTGATCTCATGCAATTTATCAGTTACACTTTGCAGGAAATTGGCTCTGAAGTCCAGAGATACTTCATGAATGGAGCAGTGGTCATTTCATGTTCATGAAGATTTGGACAACCTGTTGATTCAGGTCAGGGTTTGTTCTGCCACACAGACATTGGAGACAAGCAGAGAGCGAGGATTTACATATTAACCTCAGTGTTGTGACCTGAGCAAATTAAATCAGTGTTGTTGTTGAGGTCATGTAAATTGGCCTTAGGGGCCCTGCACTGACCACAGAGTTTTATAAGCACTGGTACAATCTCATATAACTACCCTTCCCCCAGCAACCTGAAGACCATACCTTTGTTGGACTGAGATGTCCAGGTGCATTTGCTGTTAAGCACGTAGGAAGGCTATAGGCGTATGCATGTTTGTGCACATTCTTACGAAAATAAGGCATATGCCTTCCACGCTACACCTGTGCAGACTGGTGCCCTGGCCAAGATGGCAGGGATGAAGACAAGAAAAGGAAAGTTTTGACTGCATGACTTGTGAGGACTTCAATACTGCAGTGGGCATTAGTGCTGTCCCACGGAAAGGTTGAGGGAAGTTACCGGCAGTGTGTCCCCACATCGTTTTGGTCAACTATCAAATGCTATTGCAGAACTAGATTTTGCTTGCTAACAGAACACTTAGTTTAACAACACTTTCCACAGTTCCGTCTCAATAACCAGAAGGAAACAAGCTCATTCGACCATTAGCCCTGTTCTGTAACTTTGCCAGGAACAAGGCTATCCGCTAGCTCCTGGTAGGAAGAACAGACGATGTGCTTTAGCTACATTGGTTCTTTGGTGGAAACGGGCTGCATGTTCTCACAGGTTTATGCACATGTGGCATAAGGCGCACTTGAGCATACAGTCCATGACCCATTTATGTTAGAAATGTATGGTCTCCATGTGTGCAGTAAGTGCCCAAATGAAATGGTTCTACCAGCCTGTCTCTCCACTGCCGATGAGAGGGTTCTTGTCCAGGTCAGGGTGGGTTGCTAGCATCTTGATAATCAAATCTGTGCATGAATTTACCTGTGATAAAAATGCATACATAAATGCTACCTCTCTGCGATTAAGAAAAATCACGTCCCAAATGTGATGACACCTCACATATTTATCATAGGACAAGGGGAAAAATTAAAGTGTATCATTCATTTGAATAAACAGCCAATATTGCACACAGTGAATCACAACATTGAATGTGTTTAAAGCAAATACAAAATTAGTCTAATCACTCTTCTGCACCTGCCCTTCATGTTTTCTTCATCGTATACACCTGACCCCTGACACCCCCCCCACCCCCTGGGCCAGCCTCTCCATTCAAATGAACAGGATATACAAATTGTGCACATACCAGGGGCCTTACTTGTGCAACAGGGATGCTGGTTTGATCTCTGGGGACAGAGAGCTTGGATCAATCTGCTAGGATGATTGGACATCACAAAGTGATTTCTTGTCGCAAGAGATTACTTATTGGATTAGTTCTTTATAGGATCATGGACAGTGAAAAGGTTAGATACATACTCAGTGCTGTGGCAAGCAANAGACAAAAATTTCATTTGTGTTTCAGAAATCTCAGGGATGTTGGCGTGCATGCTATTGGGCCCTGAACGGTGCTGATTTTACACTGTTTTCAATGGGGCTTGAATTAGTGGACTGGACCCCTGAGGTACATGCCGCCCACACGTATGGCTTACTTCTGGGTATTGCTGGGGGGTTGGATTTTATAGCTACTCCCCATTTTTTGTTAGATTTTTGATGGCCAAAAGTGAATAAGCAATCTCTCAGAATCAGAAAAATGTCTTATACAAATTGTTTTTTTGGAATTTTCCTTTGTGGTTTGCTGGTAAAATTCCCATCAATATCAATTTAGGGGCATTGCTGCCCTATTTGTAGGGAAATGTACATTTCTGCAGATTTTTAAGTATACAAATTAGTCACTTGTAAATGCAAAGTTGTTGATACATTTTCCTTAACAGGCACTTGCTGGTTTTAGGTCCCAGCTTGAGAAAGGAACTGATTGTCATATAATAATACATCATGAAGGTCATTCATACATTCATGCTATATTCATGCTTTTATAGAAAAGCCAATCACTTTGTAATTTTGTTTTTATTTGAATTATCTGAAAAGAAGCAGAAAGGAAAAGCTGAAATACTACATTGTGCTATATTCTGCCCATAGATTAATCAGCATTGGCATTGGCCCACAAGTAGAGAGTGTCTCACTGCGATGTGGAAGCCACATGTATGCTGGGTCTGGCACCCTGACCTCCCCCAACTATCCTGGACAGTACCCTGCAGATGCAGAGTGCGCCTGGCAGATTTCCACGGATGAGGGCAACCACGTGTCGCTGACGTTTAACTCGTTCGAGTTAGAAGAGTCAACAGACTGCCGGTGGGTAGGAATGGGCAGTGCTAGGGTTAATTCTGAGGTGTTCATTACAAAATCGGCCATGGAGAAATCAGAAGAGGATATTGTACCCATCCACCTGTAAACCGTCATTCCCTTTCAAAAAGGGCCACGTCCAAATCTTGTGTTTAGATCTAGGTCTTCACTGATTGAAGCTGGAAGCCGGTGGCTATTCCATGGACTCTGACTAAAGCATTTCAAATTAATATACCATTCAAAATTATCAACATTTTAAAAAATGGATGTTAAACATATGGATGGGTGGGTTGAGAGAAAACTAGACTAAATTTCATAAAATGCAGTTGGATTGTATTGAAAGGCAAGTCAGTTTATTTAGGACTGAAACTTTGAATTGATAGATAAAACAATTAAAAAAAAGAAGAAAAACAACATCAAAACAAATTGATAATTTTTTATTGACCCAAATTAAGGAATACAAAGGTTTTGGCATTAGCATTATTTAATGGCCTCCTAGTACTTTTCCTCATTTGTATGACTTTATCTTTCGTTTTAGTTACGATTATCTTGTCATATTTGACGGGGCTGATGACACGGCAACTGTCATTGGGCGTTATTGCGGACAACAGACCCCACGCACTGTTACCTCAACTGCCTCCAAACTCCATGTGAAGTTTGTCAGTGATTCCTCCATAGAGAGGTTGGGGTTCCACGCCAACTTCAGCACAGGTGGGAAAGACATTTTGAGAGGTGTGCACGGTCTTGGTAGAAGCTTGTACTCAGCCTTTTTTTCCATTAATGAAATTGGAATCCCCCCTCCAGAAAAGCAAAACTTGACATTACTTGCTTTTCACTTGGCTAAGTTGAATGAACTCAGATCCCAGCACAGCCTTGTATGCTTCATTGCAGCTTGAGTATTTTGTAGGGTGATTATTTTGGCTGATGCAGAAAAGCAAACTGAGCTTTGTGTTTGTAAGAGCATCAACTTCCTCACTCTCAAAATGTCCCCTTGAATGTAGAAATCTAATGCTTCCTGATTCTCTAATTTCTGTATGCACAGTGATGCGATTAAAGGGTTTATACTCCCATCTTTGGCTGCCAAACATGGGAAAATGTAAGGAAAAACAATTAAAGATGCTTGTCGAGTCCCCAAGCTTAATAGCAATGTGCCCCTTTTGAGCCAAATCAGGATCCGCCCCTATGCAGTAACCACCTACACTTAGATTGAACAGCAAAACAAAGAAATGCCGCTTAAATTCATAGTTGGCAAGTTATTGATACCACTCAACAGTGGTGTTGATGTTCTCGTCGAACAGGCTGCTCCCGAAATCTTGCGGGTCCAAGAGGTCAGCTGACTTCCCCAAACTACCCTGGTTACTATCCCATCAACCAGAACTGCCTCTACAAGATCACCGTTGGCAACGGCAAACGTATACGACTCCAGTTTCTCATCTTTGCAACCGAAGGAACACCATCATTCTGCAGCTATGACACCTTGGAGATATTTGATGGGACAACAACAGGTAACAAAAATAATGAAAGGATAATTCAGCAGAGTAACTTTTGGGCAAAAGGTCATTTCAGGGGAATGAGAAACTAGTGAATTTGTATCAAACAGATCAAAGTTCTTTCCTGGTCAACTCTAAATTCTGGGCGGGAAGCATAAATGTTGCTCGGGCCTTAAAATTTGACCGTTCACAACAAGCTTTTACAATGTGAGAGGGACACTGTAAGATTTGGTAAGATGTCCATAGAACCTGCTGATGTCATTTAGTATGTGTGATTGTTTACAGCATATTCAATTTCTTTTTTTTTTCTGTCATTTCAGACTCTAAGCTGATTGGTCGATATTGTGGCACTGATATTCCTGATCCCGTCATAACGTCTGGCAATGAGATGATGATGAGATTTCTGAGCGACAACTCGGTTGGCCATCAAGGCTTCTATATTGAGTTTGAGGAAGTCGGTGAGTCAGTGCAAACATAAAGTCCCACCTCCTCTGTCAATTTCTTTCTTTAAAGTTTCCACAATCACAGTTGTGAATTCCAGCCCAACAGCAGTGCTCAATGTTGAAGTGACAACAAGGTACAGTCAGTCAAGATTTGTTCTCTCTTATCATCCCTTGTTAATTGCACTAACATTGGTGATGTTAGTTTTTCCCAGTCTTCATTTTTGATGCGAGATCCAACTGGAATTTAACAAAATGGCTAATTCACAAATAAGAAGATGAGGAAACACCTGTTGTGTTTAGTTTTGATAATCCAGCAGCCATCAGCTGTTTCCTTTTAGAACCTTTTGGCAATTTGCCTGTTCCTCCTGAGAGTCGTCTCTCACTAGCTCGCAGGAGAATGGTGATCCATTTTGTGGGCAGCGAGTTGGCCAGTGGGGGGGTGCTAAGGCAAGCAAATATCACTTTCATTAATTGAAGCCGCTGGTTTGTCTGTGAATGCAAGACTAAGTATTTCATGCCAGGTTTAACATACTCCTAATAAGCCTTTTGCAAGTTAATTTGAATAAAACCTGGTTCACTGAGTTCTTTAAATTCAGGTGAGCATAAGTTGAATTCTCCATACTGATGACACTGTTGCTATACCTCGTAATTCGGGGAAAGCTTATGCTTAGTTACATAAGAGATGCCTTGCATCAATGCACCATTTTCAATAGATAAGAAGGGCACAAAGGAACCAAAGTTTGCCCCAAATTACAAGGTACATGTGTAGCAACAGTGTCTGTAGTCTGGGGAAATCAAATTATGTTTATTTGCAATAATGTAAGTCAGTGTACCTGATTTTATTCAAATTTAACTTGCAAAAAGTTTATTCCACACTGTGCCGTTTCTCTCCAAGACCCTAACTGAAAATTGCTTTTGGTGTATGTGCTGGTTTTGGATGAATTCTTTTGAAGTGACGAGAATGCCTGTTTTATTTGCCGCGTAACCATGATTGCTGCATGCCAAACTTGTTAACAAAATTAATTTGACTAAAAATAATCAAATGAACAAGAAATGCATGTATTTAACATTTTACATCTATTTTTTATTGTTTTCATTGTTCTTTTCTGTTTGAGTGTTCGAATTTTGAAATATGATGTTGTTTTCTTTCCTTTTGTTTGTCCATGCTGTATTTTTTTTTCTTTTGTGTTTGTTTCCTTCTCAAAAAACCTGTTTTGATGTGACTGTATCTCTGGCTGTATCAGTATATTTTGGAACCCCCCCCCCCGACAAATGTTTTGTGTTCTTGTTGGCTGTCAAACAATTGTTCGTGCATTGTGGATAGGTTGTTGGAAGTGACTGCTTTTCAAATTATTTTTATACAATGTGGTAAGTTGCTTGATTTACACTATCAGAAAAGATAAGGCTACTCATAACATCAAAGTTTAAAAATATTAAAATATACTTGTAAGTAAATGGATAGATGATATTTTGCAGGAGTAAAACAATATTGAACACTTTGTATTAGCACCTCCCCCCCCCTCATAGCTTGATCCGTGACAATGATATTGCTGCTCCACAAAGCCTGGAGAGCATCCCAAATGATTGTTGATGTGGTGAAAGTGTCGCCTTGGGTTTTCAAAAAAAGGTCTAAATTTTCAATGAATGTGCCTTTTTAAAATTAATCCGAGTGGGAAAGAAATTTTGAGAGCCAGGGCAGACCCCATGACATTGAAAGGTAAAGAAGGTGTCAAATTAATTTGAAAAAAATTGAGTTCTTCTACCCCCGTCGTTCTTTTTTTTTTTTTTGGTTGTCCCCTGAACTTTACAAGTTAAGTCTCAAAGGCCATTCAACCTGACAAGCACATATGAATATATTGTATGAAATCTCCACCACATCAGTTTTCTCCTCTAAGTTAACATCTGTGTGTGAATCTGAATGCCAGACAGTTAATCCCTTGTGATCATGTGTCACTTCAAATAAGATGAGTCATGTCTAGGTTGGCGTCAAGGAGACCCAAGCTAGATATTAAAAAGTTTTGGATGTTGTCAATCATGGAAACAAAAACGTACACCAAAGTTACCTTGATTTATTGGAGGACATGCCCCGTCTACAGCATACATGCATTTATGAGGAAAATAATCAAAATGCTGATTAGCTTTTTGTATTTTTTTAAAGGTTTTCAGGAATGTAAGCTTCATCTTTGATGTGGAATGTTTCAAAAATGGATACAAAATGTGTTGCATCAATCAAGAATTTTCGCTGTCCCACTGCATTTTCAAAACTCTCACGTTGTTTGGGGTATAAATGTAATATCCCTCGAAATGGAGGTTCAATCACCAACAAGAATTTTCATTGTCCCACAACATTCCCAAACATTCACCTTGTTTGGGGTATAAATGTCATATCCCTGAAAATGTTTCCGTAAAAGCTGTAGGTAAAAGTAGACATAGGAGGGATGACGATGACTCTTCGTCTTCAGAAGAGGACAATGACGATGATGACGATGATGATGACGAAGATGATAACAGGAGGAGGGACTATGATTCTGCTGGCTCTGTGGACTACTTTTCCATGTGTACGTTCCTGTGTCTTTCTTCCAGAGGCATGCATGCCATTATGAGTCATACTTATTTCACAAATTAGAATGGTAGCTTTACTCAATCCTGCAGACAAGGAATGAATCCCAGGTGTTGTCTGTCTTTTATAATGAGTTTTTTTTCCCTTCTGAAGCCACCTGCCAGTCAGTCACAAAGGTGTACTGTGGACGTCCACTTCCATTTTTTCCCGCTCTTTTATTGGTCAATCTGTGAAGTGCAGCCTGGTGTCCTTTTATTTGTGTCAGTATTGTTATCCTTTTGTAGGATGCTCTGTTATTTGGGCGGTGTCAAATGCACTCTCTTTGTTTTCAATATGTTCTGTATACGTATAGCTGGAGAGTTTCCGACACATGGTTACGGTATAAACTGCTTCTTATGGAAATATAGCATGCAAGAACCATTTTGAACAAAAATAAAGGAATATAAATGCACTCTTACTGTAAATCATTTTGAGTTCCTGTATTTCATGACAGTGGGTACTCTTTTCAGAAAAGTCTGAGACAAATAGTAATTTGGAAACAACAACAAAAAACACAGAAGCGCTTCGTCATACACTACTATATATATACATTGCTCTATGATGTATACATGGTTGCTAGTTCACCAACCTTATCCTTACACAGCTGCTTGTAACTATTAGATATGTGGAGGTCATGAGCCTCACTAGAGGATGCGTCCCTGGGCCAGTGACCAAACTCCCACCTTAGAACCTCTGATGATTCAATTACAAGTCACAGACTGTTCTGTCTGCTCCTACAGTCTCCAGTCATGTTCATGAATTCTCGCAAGTCCACCAGAAGTCCTCAGTCAGAAAAAAAAAGAGACAGAAATAGGATACATTTTATTTCCAGCAGTGGAAGCATATCCGAACCAGATTTCCTTCCACTTTGTCAGTTCCAGCAGCTCAAAAATGCACCTTCTAGCCTTTAGAGGGACTTAATGTTGCGATGAAGCACGGGAGTGGTTCCTATCAAGATGTTGACAGTTTCCCTTGGAATTTGTGGACGAGCACAGCATGGAGGCTGTAACATTGAATTTCGACTCCTTCAGAAGGTCAAGCAAGTCAATCTAGTGGCTTCCTTAACATGTTGATACTAATGTCCAAATTGTTGGAGAAGAGGCTGGGAAATCAAAGCCAGGATCAGTTTGTGACGTCACTGCTGCTAAACTTGGTAAAGTTCAAAGCAACTGGCTTCCAAATACGGTTGAGTGTTGTGCCTGCTAAGGTACTCAGTGCTATCATGTAATAATGATAAGGTGTGGATGTAAACACTGGATTATATTTTGATTAAGTAAGTCATCAGGTTGGTTGAGAGATTGGGGTCAAAACATCGGATAGCATAATGGCTTTTCATTCTGTCAGGGAAATAAACACACCAGCAAACAGAAAATGTCACAGACTTTAAAGTAGACCTGGGTATGTTTCCCATTACATGTATGTGACACTGAATTGCTTGGCTGCAACTTGAAATTATGTACAAATCTATGGTTGTGGCTGCATCCACTTCCAATACAGTAGTGCGTTATTTGAGCCAAAGCCAAATAATTTGGGAGGTAGCTTTACCCTCCAGATGGTATCATATCTTAAAACGATTGATGGCACAGAGTTGCTAGTGTTTAACATTTAGTGCTGGCCTTTGATGGCTATAAGTAGCTTTGAATGAAATCCGTCACAAGGACTGTAAAGATTACTCCAGTGGGACAAGCCTTGTCCGGCTTTAAGCCTTAGCCTGTTGGTGTTTTCTTCACTGGAAATTTAGTATGTGGGCAGTATAATTGTGTTGTTGAGATATGCAGTTTTCTTTTGCAACTGTGGCAGTCATATTGAAGAATGCTGTAGACTCAAAAGCTAGATAGGTAATATCCTTGATTGTTTTCCAATAGTGCACCAGCAGTAGTTGTAATGGTGAAGTTGATGATCACTGTCCCACATTTGGCAAAGAAAATTTGAAGTCTGTCCATATTTTCATTTTGAGAATGAGTACACTTGTCAGTTGTCTTCTTGATTTAAATCAGTGTAAGTGGGCCTCATGCAGTTCTGTCCCTCTTCAGTTTAAGTTGGAGCAGGATCACCCTTTAACTTTGTCTGGGACTCGCCCAGGATTTATTTTCCCTGCCGATGAAACAGTTCCTCCACCCCAACAGCTTGTCTCTTATCGCTCGATGAAGATCCTATTTCCATGCAGTCTAGACGCACCCTGTGACAAAGCAGACCCTGAGTTGCATCCTGTCAGATTTTGCTTCCCTGAGACAGAAAGAGAAAAATCCCGTATTCTGAGCAGTGGTTTCAGTCTTCAGAGATTAACTGTAATGAGAAAACTGCAGGAATTCTCTAACTGTGCCGTTCTCATTTACGTCATAAAAGCACGGAAATGGCAAAACAAATTGTGTCACACTGTGGCACCAATCAAGCAGCGATTGTGGTTTTGTCCAAACCCCCAATTTTTTTCCTTTATCGGAGGGGCACTTCTCTTGTGATTTTCAATTTCTCCAATATGAGAAAACATGTTGACATGTAGACATGCTTGCAGGAATAATATTTAGCTGGCAAAGCAAAAAATATGATTGCCGGGAACAAGAAATGTAAGCCTTAAGCTGCGATGCATGCTCAGGGTATATTTTTCCTGATACTTGAGACTTGCGTTAAAAAACAGCTGGTAATTTTCAGAGTTATGCTTCTTGTAAGCTAGACTTGTGGTGGCACCATTTATACATTGGAATTATCTCTTTTGGGTAGAAATATGGTTCTAATGGGAACTGGTGGTTTGGGATTAACATTTACATGTATGGTTGCGAGTTATGGTTGTTGACTGGTATTTTACCACTATTTTTGAACTGCATATTTTTGCAACTAGACAATCCTGAAAGTCATCATTTGATCCAAAAGGTTGTAAATTGTCTGCCTATGTTTTCTGCTCGTAATGAATTGAAAAAGGTCCTATCGTCTATTACTTAATTGTTCTCACAATGTTTGCGGGAAAAAAAATCCATTTCTTATTTGTCTATGAATAACTTTTTTTTAAAGGTTAATGTGGCTCATATGTACATGTACCTTACGTGTCCTGCGTATTTGGTGTATGACTAGAAGGAAGTGGTCTTCTAAAAATAATGCTTTTGTACCACAAATCTGACAAGCTTCTGAAATAGCAACATCAAGACGTGGCCAAAGTCCCAATCCTTTCCACCTGCAGCCATCAGGAAATTACAGTCATCAGCTGAACCTTCCGGAAGTGAAGACAAGTTCTCTTTTACAGATGTTAACATATCCAAGCTATTTTTTTTCTCTCAGTTTGTCACCAAATAACCTTGTCTGTTTTAGTTTGCCTCACTTGTGTGCACAGCTATTTTCTCCCCAAAACATTGTTTTGAGGTTTCCACCACCAACTTTCTCACAAACTTTCTTTGGTCTCCTTTGGTTCAACTCTGACCGCATTTCATCCATTTCATCTTTTTAACAAAAGATATGCTTTAACATAATATGCAAATAAGTCTCTTGCTTAAGTAACTGAAATCTCTTAACTTGGTACTAACTTTGATATAGTCAGTGCTGTGAGTTGACCTATATACATATATGAACAGCAGAGTTATAGTTGAGAATACTTAAAGATTCACAAGACCAGCACAAGACCAGCACAAGACCAACACAAGACCTCCAGTCTGAATTCAAGTCACAAGCTATTCAAATGAACTGCAACAAAAGCATTCCTTTGTCATTGTTCACCCTGTAACTTATGCATGGTCTTATGTCTGGTCTTGTGTCTGGTCTTTTGATGGTCTTGTGTCTGGTCTTGTGTCTGGTCTTGTGATGGTCTCGACTACATTACTGATGAACAAGGCCTAATTTCATGGCACTGCTAATGGCAAGCAAAAAAATTGGCACTTACTTTAGCAGAAAATTCTGTGCTTACGGCGAACGTATTTCACAGGTTAGCGAGGAATTTTGGCTTGTGTGCATGTGTTCATCCAGTAACTAAGGATTCTGTACTAAAAGGTCAGCGCAGAATTTTTCTGCTAGCACAATTAGCACAGAGTGGAAATGGTGAGCATAACATTCTGCTGTAAGCAGTGCCATGAAATTGGGCCCAGCCTTGAACTTTAACATAACTTTGTCATTAATATTGCCAGTTTTTGCATTGAGTCCTTTTCTTAGTCCCCAAGTGTGCCGAGACCTAGACCTAGCTCTAGACAACAGATTTGGACACGGTATAGGTACGCTGTTGAATGAGCACTTAGAATGCAAAGAACTACAACTGGTACGGCACACAACATTTGTTGCCAGTTGCCATAGCATTGCAAAAAGTGTTGAAACACCGAGGGAAATACGGAAATGCTTGACTTCCTGCCCTTGTGCAAGGACTTAGAATTTGTTCAAACTGTTTGTCACAATGCTATTATACACACCATAATCACAAACCAAAAGAGCTCTCACCACACTTTCCACTTAGAGGAGCTTGCATCTTCTGTCAGGGTACAGTTGTTAAACTCAGGAAAAGGACTCTGTAATAAGACTGACTGTAATAGATTGAACTGATCCACTCACGGCTGCTTGCTGTCTGAATGTTTATCTAATCCAAATTAATATGACTGACTCCCTGCAATTTTTAAAGAAGAATACTGTAACTTTTTCTTCTCATCCCGAAGTGCGAGGTCCTTATTTCCCCCATTCCGTATCTTACAGACACTGATTTTGCACCCAGCAATCCGTGCCTAGTCGACAATGGCGGGTGCGACCAGCTGTGTGAGATACGACATGGCAAGTCGCATTGCCGCTGCAGAGTGGGCTACAAAATGTCCAAAAACAAAGTGAACTGTGTTGGTAAGGACACCCCCTTACCCCAGATGAGCATCCCTCGATTGATGCCCCAAGAATCTTTGTTTTAATCCAGAGTGAAAAATGCCTGCCCCTCCAAAAAAAGTTAACTTGTTCATCATGACTCAACATTTTATCGGGATTACAAAACATTAAATGCACAGCAGTTTTGCATTGGTGTTATACAACGTTTTCTTTATTTTTGTAAAAAGGTGTCAAACATTTTGATGAGTGATAAACAGGCGTGCCAAAAAGTCCACGCATTTTGACACCAACAAGGTCCTTTGATCTTTGTGATTATGAAGAATGATTTTTCACTGCTAGAGCGATATTGCCTAATGAGTGCCAGAAGAGTTAATCAAATAAAATGTGTGAAGTTTCTTTGCATGACAAATTAGTATATAGTGAAGGCATTCTAATATGACAGTATATCTAGAAGAGGCAACTTGTCCCACCAGTTTTTGGCAAAGGAGTGAGTTTTTCTTTCATTTTAATGAAGCGACGATGCAGTTTTTCAATCCATTTGGCAGTGGATTCTCACAGCAGATATATGTCTGTGGTAGTTCTCCCAAAACAAATATTAAGGTTCAAATACTGCTAGCCGCAACCTTTACCTCGTGAAATGACGCTTGAAGATTTTTTGGATGGGCACTTATCGTGAATCTAAAAGTTGAGCGGTAGAATAAAGACGTCAGCACAGATTGGCAACCTTCACTAGATTTTCTGCTTTCCCACGTTTCTGGCAGCTCATACCTGATTCCACAAAAGTTTCAGCAAATTCAATGTTCCAGACAACACAAACAAACCGCATCCCCGAAATAAAATGTGCGGGGAAGTGTATGGCAACACTTCATTACAAGCCACTTCCACTCACACGTTAAGGCCCTTTTAATCACATCCTGAAACTGAAGGACGCGTTCACAAAGGCTGCATTTTTGAAAGGTTAAATTATTGTAAATGCAACATGTTTTCCCTCCAGGCCCCCCCCCCTGTTCAGGAATCACTTGAAAAATTACCCTGTCACTCGTGTTCCATGTTAAATCCTTTTTCCAGACTTTCAACTGTGTGTGTTTAATCATTCCTTTGGCCAAAGCGACCTTGAGTTGTTCAGTTCAGAAATGAAATTTGATGGCAGGGCTGCCAATATTCACCCAAAAAGAAGAATGTAAATTGGGAGCTTGTTCAAAAGTTGTCATTGTTTGCTTGATTAGCTGGCACATGTATAAAGGTGGCATGCCAGTCTGTCAGAGTTCACAATTGTTCTCTCTGCTCACACACCAGTTTTTTCTCCATATCCAAAAAGGATGGATTAGGGGATATTAATTACCTTTTGGTGAAGTAGGGTTTACTGAAAACTGATCCTTTCTAAAATATAAAGAAAGGCTTGTGTTGTTTGATCTGTGCATGAAAGTATGGGTCTAATGCCCAGTCCGTGGAAGTGTACAGCCTCATGTTGGTTAACTTTTCTGGTTATTGTAGATAGGAATGAATGTGCCTCAGATGATAGATGTGCCCAAATCTGTGTCAACACCGAGGGCAGCTACCACTGTGAGTGCCAAAGAGGCTACCACTTAGCTGCTAACGCCTGGGCATGTGTTGGTAAGATCTTAGAACCAATATAATACGCTCAGTGCAGAAAAGCACTGAATGTATTTGCTAAGCAAAAGCTGGATGCCAGCCAAAAGGCTATGCATTCTATACTCTCCTGTGACTGATTCTCTGGTCTGCTGTCTTTACCTGGCATACAGCTATGTTGGACAATTGTTTCTCTACATAATAATGGAGTCTGCTTTTTCTGATGCCAACATCACAGCCATGTTTTTGCCTACCAGTGGCTGGTAGAAGTACGACTGGCCATCAGCACTAAAGGAAAACAGTGCACTAAGTTTAAAAAATCTCCTGCTGCGATCAATACTTGGTAGGGTTATTTCTTGTCAGTGAATTAGGAATTTGCCAAAAGATTATAAGTTCAAACAACCTGTTCTTGATTAGGACTGCCACAACACACCTTGTGTAAAGTAACAAAATGTACTAAATATGGTCAGGTTTGGCTCTCACTCAGTTGGTAGTGGTGTTGGTTAGCAGGAATAGACTTACATTTTGCACTTGTTTTAACCTCAATAAATTAGCCTTTACAATTAGGATTTCTTAGACCCTTGCTTAAAGACTGGTTCAACATCAGGCTGTCGTGTAATAAATTCTTGAGCTGAATTTGAAGTTGCAATATATGAATGTAATTCTGATTCTGTTGTAGTCTGATACTTTTGCACTGTGGAAAGTTTTCAGTGGCCTTCTTGAGTGGCTCACTTGTTTTCTTGTTGTTTGTTTTTGAAGATGTTGATGAATGCCGGGTCGGCAATGGTGGGTGCCAGGAGGTGTGCCGCAACATCATAGGCTCTTACACTTGTGAATGTGCCACCCCTGGTTCAGAACTGCTCGCGGATGGTCGCAGCTGTGGGGGTAAGTACAGCACATCGAAAAGCCCAAAATAAAATGGGAGAGGCTTTAATTAGTTCGTTTAGTTGGAGTGTTGTTGTGCTTGGATGAGCTAATAAAGATAGGTCACTTTAGATTTCTTCCTATATATGTTTACGTGTTTGCGATATTTGATTAGAGCTTTTTGAGTGTCAATCAAACTGAAACTGATTCATAACGTGAGGTTCATTATTGTCCAAAACTTTAAGAGATGATTCGAGGCTTTTAGCTCAGGTTCCAATTCAAGCAAATATCTTTAACAAGTTTAGTTTGAGGTCAGTTCAGTGACTCCCAGGAGGAAGCCACAAATAACGAAATGATGTGACTCAAGTCGCCAATTTTGCCAGTTTCTCCTGGGGCTGTCCCATGACCTGCATCTCATCAGAGACAGAAGCTGAAGCAGTTGTTGCAATATTTTCATTTTTAGCATTTGTTTGTGTTTTAAGGCTTTCTCTCAACCTCTCTGAAAAGTGTCCATTCAGAAAAATCACTCTCCGGAGGGAGAGTTTCAACCCTCTCCTGCAATTAAACTTTTTGACATAGAACCAAACTTGAATGATTACAGCCTCCCTGAATTTCCACTGGGGACATCAACTCTGGGGTAGGGTTCATTGTGAGTGTAATGTCATGTATACATATCTGTTTAAAAGTCACCAGGGTTTTCTCAGTATGGCTTTACCAAGCACACAACCAATTTTTGTCAGATGTGCTCCTACACACCTGTTTTTTTATATATGGTGCTGACGGCTTAAGTATGGTACGCACTGTATTACCAAGGTCCTTTTTCCATTTTTATCACTATTATGAGATTTACCTCAAATTGTTCAGGTTGTAAAATGCTGATGAGATCAAAATACTTCTGTTAAAAAAAATGGAATTTGCTGACCCAAAGAAGCAAAGTCTTCAAATAAATCAAAGTCAGGTAGCTTTGTTACAGATGCATGAACACAATAAGGATGCTGACAAACTTGTTTTGCATCGTCAGTTGCTATAAACCCTGTAGCTAGACAAAGTTACCCAATTTATCTCTGTTTTTCATCTTGTACACTTTCCATGTTTCAAAAACATCCGCTGTTGCTTTTTTTCATTCACAGTCAAGGCCAACTGCCGGGTAAACAATGGCGGCTGCAACCATGTCTGCCATGAGAAGTACAACGGGCGATACTGCTCTTGTCATATCGGATTCCTCCTGGCCGAAGATGGGTTCAACTGCACAGGTATCTGGCATTTCTTCCCATCTGCTCTTCCTGTGGGGCTTAAAGACAACGTCTGGACATATTTTCTGAGATGATTTTTTATGAAGTCTCATTACATTAACCATTATTGAGGGTTTTCCAATAGCCAGCTCCATGTTTAGCTTGGCCAGATTTGTCATCCCTGGCTCTGAAGTTGGTAATAAGCCACCGATAAGAGATTGGCCCATTTTCATGAAAGTGTGAACATTTCAGGCATACAAGCAGTTTTGATGTTCAGAGATGAAGTTGGCTAAAAAACCCCATGTTTTGGGACCCTCCCCCTCTGCATCTAACAGTGGTATTTTTGAGGCCAATCCACCTTTGTTTTCCCTCTCCATTTTTAGCTTTACTGCTAATTCATTCATGGTATTGATGACCAATTTTCAGATATTGACGAGTGCCAGCATGAAGGTGGCATTGGCATTATGGGCCACCACTGCAATCAGCTGTGTATCAACACACCGGGGAGTTACTACTGTGACTGCAATGAGGGGTTCGTGCTCAGCCCCAATGGTCGTGTTTGCAAAGGTCAGTGACCTGAGCACTGATGTGGTGATCAGCAGTTGATTAAAGATACACAGATATCGTGGATACATTTCTTTAGTATGGAAGAGCTTGTGACTTGGGTAATTCTGTGTTGTGGGTGGTTTAAACAGTGGTCATTTCGTGAGACTTTCTCTCAGTTAATTGCTATATCTTGAACAATTATGGGTCCCTTTTTATTTTTTTCTTCACCTGAACTATGTTACTGTGTTTTATAAGTTTGTTTACATGAGGAATGAAGCAAGATATAATTTTTTTAAATCTTTATATCACGTACCTAAAACAAGCCCTTCCCATTTTGCCGACTTTAAGGGCATCTTGTTTTCATTACTGAACATGATACTCCGTCAAAGGATGTTGGTCACTGCCACCACATTCACGATGACTCGTCAATACAGTGCTTTGCCCACATAAACCCTCGTGTACCCCCTCCCCCGACCTAGACATTGATGAATGTGCCACGGAGCTCAGTAACCAGTGTCATCACAGCTGCATCAATTTCCCCGGGGGTTTCCGCTGCGAGTGTTTCCAAGGGTTCAACCCACAGTACACAGCCGGCGCCACGCGCTGCGTTGACATCGACGAGTGCGACCCGCAACCCGAGGACTGCCACACCTGCAACAATTTTGATGGCGGGTATGTCTGCGGCTTTTCTTTTTTAACCCCCATAGGTTCTAAGGCATACTATGGAATCAGACAGTGGGATAAGCAATGGTGTAAAGATGTAGGAGACTCACGAAAATAGAATTTCAAGAGAGACTGTGATGAGTTATTCCTCAGCCATATCTTGTTTGTATTCCCTCGACAGTACTGATGCTGTTCTACTGAGGACCTCCATTGTCCTTGTCAATTGCTCCTGTGTTGTCTTTTTGTGACTTTTGTCTCATAAGGCTTGCGCACAAAACCTTCCCAGAATGCATTTCACAGAACCGAAGTAAAATGGTAGAACAAAGTTGACATTTTATAACTCATAGTACTGCCGACAAAGGAAGCATGTGTTCTGTAAATATCCCTCAAGATTCAAAATTATTCAGTTCTTGAGGCGGCTACTTGTTCTTCTTGATCAGGAAGAAATCCTTGTGATATCTTTTGCTGTCAATGTCAGTTAGCTCTGAAAAGTGGCTCATAGAGAATTTTGGTGTAATAAGTCCCATGTAAGTTGACAGACATAGTATTGTCCCAGTACATGCATGTTCTTTACATATCCAGCAAATGTGAGTTTAGTCATCCATTGTCAGTAGAGCCTCGGAGGCAAAGCTTTGATTTCAAGTGTCGTGCCTGGGGGAAAGAGTCACATTCATGCATTGTATGCAATATCTTGATGACAAAGCATGTAACAGACAATTGTACTCCCTGCCTTTGATTTGTCAGATGTCAACTAAACTAGTCCCAAGTTGTGACTCACAACCAGAGGGTCAAGGGTTCAAATCCAGCTGTTGGCCATCAATGGTAGCCTTGGGCAAAGTCGCTTCACCTCTTCTTGTTTCTTTTCGCACTGGAACAACCTGCAATGGACTGGCATTCCATCCAAGAAAATTTATTCATTGCTTAGTTGCTTCCTGCCCAGGAAACTGGAGATAAATAAAGGCCTGGCTCAGGCTTTGTAACTTTGAGAAGCAATTATTGTGAAACACCATCTTGCCTAATCAGACATTAAAATTAGATCAACTGATTTACTTTTTCTCACTTCTCATTTATGCCATTACATACAAATCTTCTACAGCTGTCCTTAATTTTTTTCTGACTACCCCAGCTCATGTCTGTGAAATGAAACTGACCCATGGGACATAGCCCTCCATCCTGATCCCCATAAACCTGATCTTTGAAGATCTTATCTGAAACCATTATCTGAACAGCTTTGAATGTTTGTGCCGAGCTGGTTTCATCCAGAATGAGAATCAAACCGGTTGCCTGGACATCAACGAGTGCCTGGAGAACAACGGGGACTGCCAACACGTGTGCGTCAACCTGCCTGGCAGCCATGAGTGCCGGTGCCGTGTCGGGTACCAGGGAACCACCTACACTAATCGGGTCTGTGTGGATATCGATGAGTGTGCGGCCGACAGGAGGGGGCCCTGCGATCATGCTTGTACAAATACAGAAGGTATAGCATTCATTTTCGTCACGTTGTTGAGAAAGAAAAGTGGCCTTGGATGCATGTGGGAAATTTTTTGTTCATTCTTGATTACAATGCCCCACCTGTTTTGTGCGTTGTTTATTTGATAGTTTTTTGTTAAAAAGTTGAAAACGAATCGGTGATCTTCACACTGATAATTCCTGGGGTGCTTTCCTTCCCAAGCTGTGTCCAAAGATACAAGCTGTGGCTAACAGTAAACACTCATATAGGAAATGGCTATAGCAGCTAGCCATTGGTCTCCATAAATACACATCTTATTGCCAGCTACAGCCAATACTTTTAGTTACAGCCCCCAAAAAACACTCAGCAATGATGTGGATTTGTGAGGAGGTTGCAGAGATAGATGCTCCTATCTAGCACCTTCTTTTGTTCACCCGCTTTTACTTCTTTTCGTGGGTAGCCCATTGGGCTAGCTAATTTGTAATTTGGACTCTGGGCTCACCCTATTTTTAACGCTGCTATAGATGAACCAGTTATTTCTCCCAACCAAACTGAATTGCTCCCTGCACTGCTCCAGAATATCCAGTGCTAAATAGAGATAAATCAGTGCTAAAGGGTTAAATAACTGAACATGGACAACGCATTGCGTCATCACTTCTCTTTTCTAAAAACCTTTGAGTATTGCTGGCTGTTTTCCCGCCGACTTTGCAGGATCATTTGAATGTACCTGCGATGTGGGCTTCTACCTGCAAGAAAACATGCTGCGATGTGAGGACATTGATGAGTGTGTTGGCGACAACGGTGGCTGCTCCCAGCGATGCTACAACACCCTGGGTTCCTGGGAGTGTGGGTTAGTCCAACCGACCTCGTACACAAATGTTTACTTTTGGACGTGAACCAAAATGAAACATACAGCAAACTTGCCAGGACATTTCTCCCTGAAGGATTTTCTTTAAGAAAAGTCATCTCTGATCATCTCTTATTTCCCAGACTTTTCAAAACTGCTACTGTTGAAAGTGGCACGACTTGGGGGGAGGGGATGCAGGCACCTATCTGGGGGGGATTAGAGGTAAAAAAAAAAAACCTGCTCTGAGTCAAAAAAGGGAAAAAAAAGGAAAATAATATTAAAAAACTAAAGTAAGTGCTCCAGTACCATTGTAAACAATGTATGCCATGTATAATGTTTCATCATCATGTCCGCTTGGCTGCAAAAATGGGACTTTAAAAAAAGTCTCCGACCTGACCCCCCCTGGAAAAATTCCTTGATCTGGCCCTGGGATGTGGGTTTACAGCTGACTAGCTTCCCTTAAAGTCATTTACATATTAGGAGACCGTCAACATTTTAGGGCTAGACAACTCAGTTGGGAGGGCACTGTTGTGCTCCGGAGATGTCAAGTTCTGAACTTGCATCTTGTTCTATAACTCAGAGGACATGAGTGTGGGTAATTCCAGAAATTAGAGGTCCATTTTTTTTTCTTGTCCCTGTGACATCTGACATGATTTGTTAGTTCAAAACACTTTTTCTAATTTCCAAGAGTGATGAATTAATGCAAACTACCTGCCAAACAAATAGTAATAGTTTGAAATCAATTCCGGTGATATTTCCATGTCAAATAACAAAGGTCAGATGTAACAGGGACACAAAAATATCACACTGTTGGACCCCTAATTTCTGGAGTTACCCATGTCACCTAGTGGGTATGTGTTTGATTTTTATGCACTGTACGAATTGAACTTTCATTCACAAAGAAAGTTTATGTTCAGTTTAGTTTATAAGCACAAGTTATGGATCATTTAAACACTGCTTAAAAGTGAGGAATTTAGAACACCCAACAACCCAAAATGAATTTTTTTTAACTTGTTTTTAGATCATTTTCCATCCCTCATTTCCTCACTGAGGATCCATTTTTCTACTTTCCTCTGTGTAGATGTTTTGATGGCTACTTCCAAGAGGAGCCGGACGTTGATTACTGTGTTGACGTTGATGAGTGCATGGCCACCGACTTCAGAGCCCATCGCTGCGCCGCAGAAGAAAACGCTGTGTGCTCCAACGTGGAGGGCAACTACACCTGTCTCTGTCCGCCGGGATACATGACTCATGAATGGTTCCATTGTAAAGGTATGAAAATATATTCTATTAGTGTTGTCAGTGAAGTGACTTTCCTTTACTTGTGCTCTGGAATTCTTCAAATAAAAGGTAACGAAGATGTTTTTGATCTAAATTGCACTTGCAAGGATAGAGAATAGATGGTACTGATCTTGAGCTGCTGTAAAATCTGATCTCACAGCCCGCTGGGTAGGGGTAATAGTTGTGAATGCTTTGAGACCTCAGGTTGTAAAATGCTACATAAGCGCCGCTTACCGCACTAAAATGAATCACCTATGGTGCAGGTTTGTTTGTTTTTGTGATGGAAATGAACTTTTATGCTTGGTTGTAGACTTATGTCATGGGGCAGCTTTCTTGCTTTTCTACCATTCATAGCAATGTAACCAAACTGAGGCTGGAAGGAAAATAGTATGTTCCTTTTTACCAACACATGAAATTGTGTTGCTGTTGCTGGTAGGCCTACAGGAAACAAGACAAACATGGCGGCATCATGATCAAGGTCTATTGTTTTATTTTACCAGATGTCGACGAATGCCAGAATGAAATGCTACATCAGTGCCAACAAGACTGCATCAATGTGGAAGGAGGGTAAGTTATCTTCAACCCTCATTTTACCAAATTGGAAAATGGACAGGAGCGCATCTTGCTGGGTCAGAAGGCAACCTGAAACATAGCTTCCTTGTGAGTCAAGAGAATGTGCCATGTTTGATGCCACAAAGCGGTGAATGTTCAGGCACTTTTTGAAAATGGTGCAATGACAAGAATACTGGGCACGAAACTTTTGCCAATCCACTTATTTTATCTGTTTTCACTTAAACTAGTGTTGTTATTGAGTACAGTTGAAGGTAACTTAGACATGTAATGCTTGTTCCTTTTGTGTACTCAGTAGCATTTTCTGTTGTTTCCTTGTAACAGGTTTCATTGTGGATGCTTTGAAGGCTATTTTATGATCAATGAAACACACTGTGACGGTAAGTTTAGTATTAAAGGTGAAAAGAAAAATACAATAGCAGCATTAAAATAACTCCAAAAGTTGAAATCTATGCCAACATCGAGTCTTAATGTTGTACTTTGAAATGCTATACGTTTGGCATTTTCTGTTACAGCTGTTGCAAGTTGTTGGTGGCTAAGTTCATTCTCCTGAAATGGAAAAGTGTCCAGTAATTTACACTGTGAACCGTCAAGTTTTAATCTTGGCATTGTTCTGGATATTGAGATTCCTAGTGAAAAAATAATAACGAAAAAATTAGAAATGTTGTGTCAAGCCAAACCAAATATTTGGTTTTCTGTTTATGGTTCTCCTGTTTTGTTCACACTGAACGAAGGTTCCTTAGCAAATGTAGGTTTTAAATGCATACCAAAAGAAAAAAGTCTTGAATTTGATGCCAAATAAAATTTCTGTCAAATAGGGAATAGGTGCCTGTAGCCCCTTCACTAAACCTTTTCAGCACACTAATGCTGCCTCTGAATGCATGTCCACATTTTGGCCTCCAGGTATGAAATGGGAAATTGGTCTGCTGGTCCCAAGAGATTCCTCTTCGACTCATATGACCCTGGCTGACCTTTCAGCCCATGCAGCATAAACTTTCTCTGAACTGTGTTCCTGACGTACGATTTCTGATTGGCACAGGGTTGGCTTCCGAAGTAAATTTCCGATCAGTTGACGTCGATCAGTTGACGTCAGTGAAAGCTTGGATGACCCGTTTCCCTAAAGGGGCTGGTTGTTATTTCTGACTGCGGCAATGAAAAGAGGTCCTGCTTGTTTCTTGCTTATGACATTCCTGTTTTTCCAGGAATGAGCAGGGAAGTTTGATGACAAAAAATTGAGGAACTGTCCTTGTTCTCTTTTAGTAGATGTAATAGAATTGGGTCCTGTTATTAAAAAAAAAGTGGAAAAATTTGGAACGTTGGAAAAAAGGTAATCTCATCTTATATGTGAGATTGAAACCATGACCATCTACTTACAAATGCAAATATCCAAATCATTTGACTAGCAAGAGTTATCATGCAATTTCAAATGCAACATGGCAGTTGGCACCACAATCAGTGATTGTTGATGGAAGATTTGGCTCTTATTTGCCACCTGCTGTGTGAAATCGAGTAATAAGTCACCAGATTCACTTTTCAGTTACAGCCTTCAAAGAATCTTACGCTATCGATCTGGAACCTCAACATTTTTCACACACTTAATGTCTATTTGCATCAGGATGCCAAGATGAGTGATACATTAAAAGTTCATTTGGTTCTTTCTAATGCAAACTGAAATGCAATCACTTAAAATATTGCATTATGACCCATTTTCACAGAACCAGTCTGATTTTCTTTTGTTCAGATATCAATGAGTGTGACCAGGAGTTGTGTGACCACAACGACCTATGCGTGAATGCCGTGGGTAGCTTCACTTGCGGCTGTAGACAGGGCTACTTCCTGATGGCTGACGGCCAGTCCTGCTCGGATGTCAACGAGTGTAACGACAACAACGGGGGTTGTGCCCACATATGCATCAATGACAGGGGAGGGTATGCGCAGACCAATTGTTTTGGTCATTTTTTGTTACTATTGGGTTTCCATGGTGATTTTCTGTGATTACAGCATTGAAATGTGTAACTTTTCTTTGAGCAAATTGTAAATTAAATTATAATCAGAACAGTTTGAGAACAATGAAGATCAGAATATCTTTATGATGAGATAATGAATACCTTTGCCCAAACTTCCAGCTGGTATAAATCCTTTTGCAATTGAACTGTTTCATTTCATTGTAGCATCCATTCAACAGACTTTTTATGATGAATAAAGACATGTTAACGAGTGCTTAAGTTGCCCAGTAGCTGATCAAGTGGGGGTGCAACTAGCCAAGCATCCCCCCTCCCAATTTTCATATTTCTTTAATCGGAGTTGGAGACATAGTTTCCTTTTCCCTCTGTCTTTTGTTCTACTTTCAACTGGATACAGAAATTTTATGATTTCTAAAAGAATGCCCCATGCACTCTTACGTTTGTGTTCCACTTCATTTTAGATCCTCCCCTCCTTAAATGTTGGGCCCCTCCTTTTTTATAAATGCTTGAACTGCCTTTTCTGTCTGTAAAGAGATACATGTAGTCAGAGACTTAGAATGATTATTGCTGAAAAAATGTAAATTTTTACCCCTCAGAAAAAAGAACTTGAACTAGCTCTCTTTTGATGGTATTCCTTAAATTGATACTTTCCCAGACATCGTTGTGAGTGCAATGAGGGCTTTGAGCTCCAGAGAGATGGCAGGTCGTGTGAGGACATCAACGAGTGCGACTCGAACTTTGCCTGCTGCAATCAGATGAACAATTGCCTGAACCTGCAGGGGAGCTACACCTGCAGCTGCGATCCGGGCTACTTCATGAGCGCTGACAACTGCACCTGTCTCGGTAGGTCGACTTTTCATTCAGCCTTCTTGAAGGTGTAGTCAACTCTAAGTCGCTCACTGTGGGCAGTGTAAAGGGGAAAAGGTACTTCCCCTGGAGCATTTATTTGAATAATGAATAATCCTCAGTATTTTTTCATTTATCGACTCTTAAAGAATTTATTTAATTATTTATTTCAATATCCAACAGCGGAGATCCGCCACTTACAAGCATTGTAAAAGTAAATACTAACATTAACATTAACCTAATTTCAATGAATCATGAGAGGACAGATTTATCGTAGGGATGGGTCCAGGAATTTTTTCAGAGGGGGTCAGGCCAGAGATTTTTTTAAATATCTCATTTTTGTGGGCAAGCCTAAAAAATGATGACGAAATATTTTACATGACATACATTGTGTTTTTTCATTTATTGACTTTTATTACAAGAAGGTGGATTTATCATAGGGGCGGATCCAGGAATTTTTCCAGACGGGGTCAAGTTGGAGATTTTTTTTGTAGGCAAGCTGAACAATGACGAAATATTACAGATGACATACATTGTTTAAAATGGTATTAGTGCACTTACTTACAGTCACTTGCAAAAGTTTAGGACCACCCATACAAAATGCCTTAACCAGAAGAAAAAAACAAACATAAACCAATCAGTCATAGCAACTTATGTTTATTTTCAATGTGATTAATACCTTAGTGTCTTGGTTGAACCATTTGACTACATTTCCATGCTTTCAAACATTAACTGTTGAATATTCAGTATGCAGTCCTCCATTTCTGATGACTCAGACTGGCTTTTTTTTACTCATGCTGCATTACAGATAGTGTTGTACAAGACCTCCCTTTGCAAAAACTTTCATTCAAATGGGCTGATAGCACTACTCTGATATTATAGACGGCTGTAAAATATGTTAGTGAGACAAATACCAACAAAACTCCAGGTGGTCTTAAACTTTTGTGAATGACTGTGGTTATTTTCTATTATTTTCCCCTTTTTTTATCTTTTTTTGTTCAGAGTTTTTGCTCCTCAGTTAAAGTAATTTTGAATATTGATTTGGACTGGTGCCTGTCTTGTCCAATGTAGACATCAACGAATGTGAGAAAGACAATGGAGGCTGCAGCCAGATCTGTACAAATTTCCCAGGACATTACAAGTAAGTGACACTCGACACAGGTTCAGTAAATCTACACCAGTTGGTGCATGCTAAAGTCAAGCCTCACGCATTAATGCCACTCAGTTCACAAGGCCAGCAGCTGATTGAATTCTTTCAACACTGCAGTATACTATGTCAGTATCCTTCAATATTCTGGCGGAAAGCATTGCACCAGAATGTGGGCAGAATGTCTGGCTTAATTTGTGTGCCAAGCAAAAAATTGGCAGAAAACCAGTCACAAAAATAAACTACCCTGACTTTTTTGCTGGTAAGCTGTTTTCTTCTGAGCAAAAATTTTCCACTCTTGAATGTTTTACTTCTGGAGTGCCCATTTTTTTAATAGAATTTTGCCACAACGCCTTTATTTTCTTGTGTATTTATTTTCTATTTTTATAGTCATAATTAAGCTCTGTCAGTTATAAACTGTTCTTCCTATAGAAGACAGTGAAGAATTGCTTAATTTTAGAGGTGGGAGAAAAACCCTAGACAAATATTCGGGAGAAAACCAATGGAATCTTTTGGGGCTGAAATCCAAACCCACCTGCTGACCTGAGTTGGATTTAAACCCCAACCACAAAGATGGAAGGCAAGGAAATTGCTGCTGCATCAACCTAAGTTCCATCTCATACATTTCAAAGTTGGAGCTCTAGCCCTATATGCAGTCTGTCCATCCAGCTGCATCGGCTTCTCTCTCTTGTAACAAAACTTCCTGGCTTATTACCAACGTCCTGTCTTTCAGCTGTTCATGTGAACCAGGCTTTGAAGCAATGCCGGGTGATCAGAAGCTGTGTTTTGACATTGACGAATGCCAACATGTAAGTGGCTGGCAGCACTAAGGTGCTTTTTTGGAGTATTCATTTCCTGATGGGCTGGTTTCAGGCAATCATCTCCTTGATCGCAAGCCACGTAAGCCGCTAATTGTGCGAAAAGCTGTCCTTGTGCAAATTTTGTCAGTTGACATTAGAGGGAGGGCGGAATATAATTACCCGACACCTGGTGGACTGTAAACATTTGTGGCCGAGGGATGGTCATGCCGTTAGTTGCGGGGAATAATTGAGAACAGGTCACCATCCTGTGTAACTGGCTGCTGTCCTTAAAGGGACTTGTTCAGAAATGACTGGAATTGATTGAAAGTGTTGTAAATTGATCTGGTAGCCTTTGAAATGGTAGTTCTCATCAGTCTGTTTGTTCCCCTGCAAAATTTGATTTTTCTGTGTATTTTGTGAAATGAAAAACACTTCTGGAAAAAAAAAGATGATTTAATAAAATCATTACAAATCAATGAATGCCATCATAATTAGCAGTTGTTTTTGAATTGTGTGTGCCCTTATTGAAATTTCAGTTTTCAAATGCCATAGTCATTAATCCGTACCACCCTTTGGAAACAACTTGAGAGACTTTATGTGCCTTTCAATCGTTATTAGGAAAATGGTGGTTGCGATCATTACTGCACAAACTTTGTTGGTGGATACAATTGCTCCTGTGAACCCAACTTCAAACTGGGCATCGACTCCCATTCCTGCCAGCGTAAGTACACGGAGCTGTATAACACCTGCTTCTGCTAGCAAACTCATTTTTATCAAAGTTTTTCTCCTTGAATTTTCCACTTGATGCATACATTATTCTACAGTACCACACGAACACAAATGATTTTGTATTAAGCTGTCTCGGTGACATGGTGAATATGTTGTTCCCTCGTACTTCTGCTAATCCCGTAAGAATCTTGTGCATGAAAACTGCGTCGCCCCAGGATGGGATGCCAGTCATCATGAGTTGGTCCCCATTATATAGATTGCTCCTTGGTAGATTGAGGTAGGCTGGGGTGAGGTGGCTTACTTAAAGGTCACAACTCGCTGGATTTAAACCACTGACTCTCCGATCATGAGTTACGATCCCTACCTCTATTGTTGCCAGAATTTTTTTGCAAGAACTCAGCATTGTTTGAGCTTTTTTTTTGTGCCAAACATGCCAAAAACTAAGTTTGTACAGAGCTGGTCAGCAACCCTTATGTTCTCTGTCAATGCCTTTAACAGTTCTTTACTGTCAATCACAGTTGAAACCATGTAAACAATCAATGCTCAGTGCCGGGATTCATTGATTGTTGGAAAAAATCAAATTTCCTATACAAATATTTTGGGGGTTCTCCAGCTGCAAACCTGGAAGACTTTTGTTTTTTTCTAACGAATCAGAGGAAAGTACACGTCATCTTACAGGTATAGCGCCAGGGCTCACTTCAATGTGTTTACACAGTTGGGAATGTCAATTTGCTACTTGTTTTAAAACTGTTGGTGGGTTTTTGTCTGGTGTCTTGTTGCTCATGGTGCTACCGTTGCAGCCAATATGCAGTCAAAAATGAAGGATACCAATGCCCACCTTGCTGATATTTGTTACTCGAAATCTGTACACTTTCCAACTCAGCCATTCCTGAGGATCGTTGTGTGTGATTTGCTGAGCTGAGGCAAAGTACTCGCAACCAAGCCTGCTGTGTCACAAGTGTAACTTGTGAAACCACACCCCAGGCTGTTGTGGCTGCTTTGGCCACACTGTAACTCAGTAATCGGCAAAGAGCCCTTTTTTTTCGTGACAGATTGCCCAACCTGTGAAAACTTTGAGGAGATGCAAATGATGATTCTGGGATTGCGTGAGACGGTAGCCACAATGCAGAATGCCATACTGGAAGTGCAGGCACAGAACAGGCAACTTTGGGAACGGGTGAGATGATTTGTAATACTGGTCAAAATACTGTTGTTTTCCCTGAGCAAATACAGTGAGTTCTCAAATCATGTCAAAATAATGCAACATCCAAACACAAGCACAAACTGCCCATTTTTGTCATAACCATTTTTTCCCTTCTAGCTACCTCTGTATCCGTCTTGCTTGTAATTGTTTGTATGGCCTTGTTCTACAATTCTTTTTGGAAATGTAAAGAGAAAAATACAAACTGTCAGTAATATTTCATTTCCCTTCTGTCCCAAAGGGCATAAAGAAGCCCCCATATTTAACTTAAATTACATAAATTACTTGATTTTTAGCCCCCCCCCCAAAAAAATGTAGTTCAGGAGTCACCCTTGAATGTATTCCATGTAGATAGGGTTACCTGTTTGTGGATGAGGTTGTTTCAGAATCCTTCCCTTGTAAACTGTCTCGTAGCTTATCAAAATCTTCTCCTTTAACCCCCCCCAAAGTAGTATCCAATTGCTTTTTAGCTAACAACATTCCCATGTTATGCCCAAATACATGAATATCCAATATGTTTAAACCTAGTGACCCAACACATCAGGGTATCCACACAAAATTGCACATAGAATTCCCCTTTTTTTTGTTTTCATCTGAACAATTTTAGTTGCGAAGCTTTTTTTTTTCCATTCTAAACCTTTCATGACAATATAAGCCTGTGCAACATTAAAAAAGGCATAGAAATAAAAAGAAATCTGGCACTTATGATTGGTTTTCATATCTGAAGGGACTGTGCAGTGGGTGTTATTTATTTGACATTCAAAAAAATGATCTTTCTGCCAGATCCGTGCCATCGAAGACCAACAGAATGAGAATTCTGCTCTCGCCACCCACAAGTTGACAGTGCAGAAGTTGCCACATCAGCCCAAAACCCTGGCAAGACACTCCTTACCAGTAAACTGAAGTGGAGTGCACGGCTATTCCAATTACTCTTTTCCCTCCAAAAAAAGAAAGAAAAGACGTCAATCAAGTTACAGCATGAGATGCTTGATTGAATGTTGTACTAATCAAAGACTTCTCATTACCTTACCTGGAAGCTACTTCTGGGCGAAAGAAGTACACCTTATTATTGACTTCTGATTTCTCAGAATTCACCTGATTACAGTGATCTATGATTTCATTGGAAATCAAAGGCAATGGAAATTATGGGTGTTTGAGTCCTGCTTGCATTCTAGCAAAATTCGAAGTGAGTGTTAAAAATACACCTCAATATTTGTTCTTTTTTGGTAGCTACTTTTGCCCCACATCGTAAGGCTCATGTGTTCTTTTGCTGTACTGGCAGGAACACATGCAGACTGTTGGTGTGTGGCATGTTGCATCACTGAACCAGACATAAGTGTCTGCACAGCCAATGTCATTATGGCAGTTTTCTGTTTTCACATGGTGCTTAATGTAACAAGGTGTGTGGATGGAACATCGGACACAAGAATTAGGAAAATGGTATAAATAAAGTTAGTCACTTACATCAATTGAAATCCAAATTTAATTGATGTTTGCCCAAGTAAATAATTACAGGTTTATAAGTGGATGTACAGTAATTGGTGTCAAGACGCGCAAACAAAAAAATAATGAGGTTGTATGCATGAGATGAAATTTTAGTTGATCGTTGTCGGGTTAATAGTGTGAGCTAAGGTGAAATTACAGTTGTTTTAAAGCATATTTAATGCAAGTTTGGTTCAAAAATAACCTCAAGCCTACAGTGAGAGACTGTTTTTTTTCTTAGGCATGTTCAGATGCTAATAGTGTTAAAGTCGGCACCGTTTTGTAATCAGAAAGTCAAGTTTATTGTGAATCAATGGATGAGTCATCCACTCTCTAAAAACCTGTTATTCTGCACATAAGCATCCACTTAAGCTGTGATGAGTGTAGCATATCATTTCCGACCTCATTAGAGAAAAATCTCATTGATCATATCCATTTATAGTATTTTCTTAGAATGCTGTGCTTGGTAGGCCTAACTGTAAAAATGAAAATTCAAAAACAAATACACCCACGGCTCCGTATCTCTTGTCAACAGTCAATTGTAGTCATTTTATGTACATAGTGTAAAGTGATATTGTAATGTAGTTCGGTTGTAGAAAAGTTATGGATTAGCTCTTGCTGTATTTGAAATGGATTAGTTTGGAAAGTAAAGCTTTTTTTTCTGACTTTTCTTTAAATCAGCAACTTCGTGTTGCAATGATTTCCATACGAAATTTGAACCTTGTATATAATAAAATAATATTATTGAATGAAATTGTAATAAGGTAATTCTATACCAGTCAATTTTCTGTTTTCACACCATGATTATTCTGTTACCTGTAACTTGGTAAACGTGTTGTTGCCGTTAAACCACTCCTAAAATGTAGCTGAAGAAAGAAGACGACATAAATGCCATCTTGTGTATGTCCGACGTTGGCAAATGCAGGGTTTCATCGAGACGCACGCAATTCAGAGTCTAGCAAGGTTGAATTCTCTTAAATTCTCTAAATGCCTCTTAAATTACAGATTTGTACCGCTTTACTTGTAGGTAAGTCAAGAACGATAGCTCTAATTATGTACCTGTATATACTCTTTTTTTCGTTCATTTCATATTTCTCCCAGGGATTCAGAATTGAGTCAATTCATTTTGTGCGTATGTCCTTCGACTGAGGATTGCCGTCTCTTATGATTTTAATCACGGAAAGGTATTGGAACAGTTTAATTACAGTCTTGATTTGGTTTCCTGGCTCAAATTTTTCCTGGTACCCGCAATTTGGATTTGTCTGTAATCATTCTCGCTAACGACGCATCATTCAAGAGTGTGAAATTTAAGAGGCCACAAAATGACACAAGGCTGGAATAATTCACATTGGAATTTCCACCAGACAGTAAAGCTCCAATAGGACTAAGACAGTGAAATCAATTAAATTAGCGTACAAAATTAGCTTTTATCGGGATTTAACATATTTTTGGAGACATGTTCCGTCTTTGTCTCCATCGATCAAATTGACACCGTGTTTAGCCATATGTGACGTACAGTGTTGTATTTGTTCAGCATACCCGAGTTGAATATTACTCACACGGATCATACAACAGGCGACCAGTAAACGACAGCATCCGTGCATTGTGTTAGATACACACGAACTTCTATCGGTAGTGTTCTTAGTCACGTGTATCAGAGATCAGCGTTGGAATGGAAACTGTTCCATGAAATATGGTCAATAGGAAATGAGCTTTCACGGGAACGAAAAAAAAAATTTATGCTGCTAAGGTTTGTGAACTTCGTGGTGTCTCTTCAGAAACCATCAGATAACTTCAAGCTTGAGAAAATGCCGTCAACCTCATAAATACCTACCCAACTTGATGCCAACAACTGCCTCATATTTCTATAGGGTAAACATTAAGCTATAAAGGTAAAATGCGTGTCGTCAAGTTCAACGAACGTTCCACTCACATTTGAACAGTACAAAACAGTAAACAAATCTTACATTACACACCTTTTCAAAAAAATGAAATAAAACAAAATCTTACCTACATCAACCACAAGATTTTAATTATTACCGTTAACATGGAAGTGCTAGGTCACGACGGTGTCAAAATAACGAATTTTACTAATTGCTATTGTAGTTAAGTGTTTTACACTTCGGGATGTAGCCTATAGGGTGTTTGCACAGTGTGATTTTCGCATCTTTAAGACCTGTTCAAGTTCATTTGAATTTGCGTGCACTTAATTTTCTTTCAGACACTTTAGATTTGTTAAAATTACTGTTGAAATAAAATATCTCAGCAACCATTTTTATTGCTTGACCTTATCAGTATTAGCAGATAATAATCTTGTTATGCTGTAACATTGGTGAGGTAAATTAAGTACAAATTCATATTGTATCTTGGACGGTGTAAAGTAAACTATTTTTTAAAAGTACAAGTATAGAGGATTTTAACTAGTGCTTTATTTCAGTGTCTTGTTAGAAAACTTTGAAAACTTGTAACCATTAATTACGAGCCTCCGGAAGTTACCGTACCTGTTTATGGGAAAACTTGCACCCATGTATGGGAACCTCTGGACAGTGGCTGGTTTCACGTCCCAAAATAGGCGCATGTTTCTCCCGTCCGCTACGATAACAGTTGAACTTTATTTCGACACGGCCTGTTAATATAAATGGAATTCGAACCTGGACCACGTCAGGTGGAAGACGGGAAAGACGAACTATTCTTCACTCCTAGATGCACCTTTTTTTAAATCTTGGAATGCCCAAGGACAGAACAGCCCCCCCCCAAAAAAGACCCCTGAAACATTTGAGGGGAGACAAATGATGAGAAAGGCGATTGTTTTGCTTTATTTCATTTCTCTTTTCTGTTTTTCCATATAGCCCCACCCTTTTGTGGAAAGGCCATTGAAGGATACATGATAAAATTTTCCAACTTTGTGCCGCTCCCAAGAACCGAAAAAAAGTTTGGCCCCCTAGAATATTGGGCCTGGGTCCGTCCTTTTGGAAGTTTTGGGGGATGTGATACTGGAGTTTGCGAGGTCGATGTTTTGCATTTCGTGCTCTATTTTCATTCAAACTACTGGTTAATTCCGGGTTTTTGCCTCCTTGGAAGGGCTCTTTCATTTCGTATTGAGTATAATACAAGGTGTTTTGATAGCTTATCATTACAACTTTGTGAATTGTTGTTTTGATTTTGTACAAAGGGTCCGCCCTTGTAAGGTGAATACGAGACTGGAACGTAAAAGCAGAGGCTCCCAACTGTTGAGTATCTCCTGGAATTTATTGGTAGCACCTACTTGTTAATCGCGTTCTTGCATAAAGTTAATCAACAGTGAGCCGCGTTCACTTCCGGTTTTCTGTATTATATAGGCACCTTTGAGCGCTGGATGTACAATCACGTGATACAGTAATCACGATGTAAAAAGCAATCGATGTCAGTTGCGCTGAGGTTCCTTTGTACGTAGCTACCCAACAGGCTGTCATAACCGCACTTTAAAACAAAGTCGATCGATCCAAAGCTTGCTGAAAGCCTGTGATAGAAACCGATTGTGCACATCTGCTACCGTCACCCTGTGGCTATTTATACAATGGATTTTTTTTTAGATAATTTACATTCGCATAGGTCTATCTACAGATTCCATGCTACTGTAAACGTTTTGGCTGCTTTTTGGTGGGGATCGTAGACGGACTCGCGTGAAAGCTCAAGCAGTCTGCCAAGTGCTCAGTTATCCTTCGTTAATCATTGGGCGGCTTCGGATGAGTAACTTTAACGAGCCCACCGCGCTGATCGTCAAAATCACTGTTGATTTTCTTCCGCGCGTTCAGACACTAGGCGGCCGGGGTGCCGACAACAACATCCACACTTTGGTTCAAGTTTTGACGCACGAGGGGTCGTAGCACCGCGGAAAATTTGACTCGGTCTAGCGTTAACGCCCATCGTGTTAAGGCCTGTACAGTATGCATCTATGGAGTTTACTTCTTGCCAGTTTACTGGTATTTTCCCACCTCAGCTGGTCAGACGCAGGGAGCGTTCGAGTACGGAAAAGCGCGGGAAATGGTGAGTTACCGTGTAAACTTGTCACTAACAACGCACACCATGGGAACACTTTTTCATTTAAAAACGTGTCCTTAACAGGAAGCATTATTATGTAACCCCAGGACTTACTCTGTGTGAATTTACATGTGATGCAGTTGTATCTGAATACAAGTAGTATTTGAAGCTTCAAAATGGGTGCGTGCATGTGTACTAGAAGAAACAGCTAGTTCAAGTTTTCCACGAAAATGTAGACCTACTTAAGAGAAAAAGACCTTAAGTGTCATTTTCCCCTACAACAGGCAAAGTAACCAACTTTCAAGTTGCCCCCCCCCCTTTTGGAATATTTTCAACTCCATTTGGTTGCCCATAAGCAAAAATGTAAAATCGGTCATCGACTGAAGGTTAAAAGAACATGGAAGACCCGGGCACCTCTTTAATTTCCGAAGTTTTAACATTTTTGAAATGTCAACATGGTAGTTTTCTTTGGAGGAGGGCTCTTTTACGGATTCAAAAGGCAACCATTTTGAAAAAGTTCCATTTTCCCCTCGCCCGACTAGATACCTGGATATTTTACTGTGTAATAACGACCAACCGGAGACAATTTTAGAGGCCGGCACCGCCAATTGACATATTTTATGAACATTTCTTCTAGGTATTATAAAAGATGGCAACTGCCCGCCTTTGGAAAGTGAAGAGATTCAATATTACGCAGGGTATGAACCATGTCCAGAACAATGCCGATATTTTTCCCAGGGCGACAGTGATTGTCCGGGTGTGAAAAAATGTTGCGAGACGACTTGTGGTGACGAGAGCTTCGTATGTGTTGTACCGGATGAACCCTAACGGAACTCAAGAGGTCAGAGTTCACTTCATTGATCTCCATTATCTATAAGGAGGTTCATATTCTATTAGATTCTAACAAGAATCGAACTTATTAGTCTATGCATGCACGTAACTTGAACCGGGATAAAACCCTCAAACGAGGCAGTTCGAAATTCCATGCGCAACCGCGTTGAAGGTCACGCAGTTATAATCATTAGACCTTTTTTCTGTTGTACAATTAGATATCCACCAATTTTACAAACGTCACCTCAATTTTGTATATGCGAACCAAAATCGGGAGTCTACGAACGCTACTGGTGACAGTGGCGTATCAAGTGGGGAGAGGGCTTCCATGGAGACATGTTGCCAAATTCGTTATTATTTTATTAATTTTTTTTCGGGGGGAGGCAATTGAAAGCATTAACACTTTCGAAACTAAATCACCCTTTTGGGGGAAGGGGTGAAGATTCCTCTGTGGATGATAAAATTTTGGCCGTCATTTTCATTTTTAAAAAATCCCATTGTTTGTCCCCTCCTCAACCGCTAACGTGGATACGTCACCGATTGCCAACTTAGCTGGAGGAGCTGACCATGGACGTCTGCGGACTGCATCTCAATGAATTCGGACAAACTTGCAAAATCCAAAATACAAAATAATTACGTGTTCCTCACCCGGTTTGGGCTGGCGCACCCAGCGTTAAAGTCCTTGTACCCGAACTCGAGTATAACTCGGGTACCAATAAATACTTGGCCCGTACTCGATCGTAAGTACTCGAAAAAAAAGTATTCAGCGCGTACTCGTATTTTTGTACTCGAACTCGTCCATAAACTCGATAAATTGTACTCGGTTAACTCGATCACAGTCACGCAATACTTGAAAAGAAGTTGGGATCTTTTTCGATACTAAACTCAGGCCCGTTGCCTGACCAGAGACGGGGGATGGGGTGTTCGTCAAAACCAAAAGTGGAACTTTGGGCACGGTGAACACACATTTTTATACAAAGTCCTTTCATAATGTGCTTTGGAACACAATAGCAACAAGTTCCATGTTTGTCGCGAACCGAAGGTAGCATGTTAGACTTGCAAAGTCCCCTACTTCAGTTTTCAATATTCACGGCGTGTTGTAAATTGGCCTGGTATATAAATCTGCTCTTCACTCAGCACCTTGAATCGGGCACTGGGTGACCAATGAATGATATGAACATAATTATTAAAAAAAATCTTAGAAAATCCCCCCAAAATTTCAGAAGTTCTAAAAAAAGTGATAAATTCTAGTAAATCATTATTAACTCCCCATCCACTCACTAACTAAAATTGGTGAAAAAATATTTTGAGGCGCATTTCATTTTGTACTTTGGAAAAAAAAATCGGAAAATCGGACCAAAATTAATTGTCATTGGAACTTTGTAGCGGTTATCGACATTTATGAATCAAAATATTTGGAGTTTGATTAAATTTCACCTTCTGTGAAATTGGAGGTAAAATATTGTTCCATACACAAACGATCGAAGCGAAATCGAAGTGCCCATGTATAGGGTCCGCGCCACTTTCCGGAGCGCATTCTTCAATTTGTAATGTGAAGCAGCGCGCGAACCAGTGTTTTCATTAAAACTCAACTTTCTCGAGTCCTCGAAATTATTTTAGTGTCCTTGCTGGGTGGGCCATGCAGCAAATCTTTTTAAGACCAGTACAATGATAAACAACATGGATTATACAACCGCAAAAGACAAAAAAGAACAGGCGTACCACACAATTTGTGAGGTGTGAACGGGTGCATTTACAAGTCTATTAAGTTTTTCTGGACTGGTTTCCTTCATTTCCAACACGTGAGTAGAGCCAATGTAAACGTTAACCAATGAAAACATGACTGCCATGTCTCCGCGCCCGGAACGCTGCGACGCTGGTATACGTGTGGCTTTGCACTAACCAAGGCGTTCGAAAGGCACTCTGACGACACCACAAGCACGTGTCTAGTCGCTCCTGTATGTCGAACTTTTTACGCACTAAATAAACCCGTTCGACACTCGAAATGCCTCATCGAGTAATTGGTTCATGTTGAGAGTATACACCGCTGGTCGTCAGTAACCAGTACGTATAAGCAACCAGGTGGAAATAACGATACGAATTGTCATCAGTGACCCAGAATGTCGCGAGCGTTGCAGCCAACGGAAAAATGTAACGATGAGAATTTACTAAAATAGCTTCAATAACGCAATTAACAAAATAATAACACTAAGAGTGGCACAATTATGTTGCTTGCATGCCCCATGGTGCAACAAGAGATAAAAAAGGTCCTTTCAAGTCTCGGGAATAACTTTTTAAAGCTTCTTCATGAAACTGTTAATTTTTTTCCCTGTATAGATTCTGTGTTAAAGAAGAATGGAACCTGATCAACGTTTCTGTGGCCCTTCTCAACCTGCGCTTATTCTAGTGTGCCACTTAACTGTGGCCATTCACGAATTTATCATTATTTTACAAAAAAAGTTGTCACAGGCCCTTTGAAGAATTCTGAACAAGTGATCTTTCAAAATATGTGTTCTGCGATCTGTAGGATAATAAATGAAAGATAATACCTTTTCGGTTTACTGCCATATTCATGGGACAATTTCTGTAATTCAGATTCCAGATTGTATGTACTAAACAGGGACGGACCCAGGATTATGAGAAGGGGAGGCATCCCGCCCCCCATTTTTAAAGGACATCATAATATCTTACAATCTGGTGTATATTGAATTGTGTATTCTTAACAAGTGACTTATGTTTTGTGGTTGCATAATTAGTGAACCATTGGAGGATTACAGAGAGATTAAAAAAATTGGGGTTATTCGAATCCCCCCCGCACGCCCTTGCTGTATGTAGACATTGAATGTTGTAAAATCGGACTCGCAATTATAATTTGCCCCTATGGCGGTAGATGGCAGCATTAAACAGACTAATAAGCATATGGTAAGTGATCCAAGTCCAGGTCACAGACTAGTACGCGATAGTTTTAATTTATTAGTTGTAAAAGAGTTTGGGTAGGCCCCCGTCACGATAGTTTCCTCACCAATAACCACGTGTCTTCGTTAGATAATGTCTTGTGCACCTTTTACGTGGGCCTACTGTTCTCTAGCCTTCAGTCAAGGCGTGGCTACCTGGACACATGACGCACACGCACGACGAAAACTACAAGCGTGAGGGGCTTTGTTTATAGTTTCTAACCGATCTCAAGAAAAGTCAACATTTCCATGAAGGGGAATCACTAAGTGGACTTAAAATCTTCATGTCTTTCATTAATGTACATAAAAACTAAATACATACCTCCACGAGGACTTCCGTCGCAGAATCAGTATACCCATGGTTAGAGCCACACTGAAAATATCTGATTTCTTTTTCCTAACTATCGCCCCTTAGAGCATCAAACTGTCACATTCAAACAAACAAGATATTCGATTTTATCTCCCTTTTGGCCAACAGTATTCTTTTCCAAACGCTTAATATTATGCTTGCTTTTCCACAAAACTGAAGGCACTGTTAATATATACAAAAAGATATTTCAAACTCCTTCCTTGCCCGCACCGTGCTCCTGAACAGTGGTGTTTTTCCTCACTTTAAAAATGCACGTCATCTACGTTGGTCAGATATATATGTACTTTCGGGAAATATCATTAAACACCACTCTCAGATGTGTATTGTGGATTCATTTTCCACAAATTAAAGTTTCTGGAAATTTCTGGAATCGTCATTGATTTTTCTACAGACAATAGAAATTGTGGGATAAGTATATGCCCCAAAAGAACTAGTATCCAGAAATTTAGATCTACGAGTTGGTAGCTGGGGCTTGATCAGTACGTGACATATCAACAAGTATAATAGTTTGTGCTTTGTTTAATTATAATAAAAGTGACGTGTGAGGACTTCCCCATGTAAATAAAAAATAGTTCAGTGCTGTAAATTATTGGTAACTGTACTGTTGAAGAATAAACATCAGTATATTTTTCCAAAGGTAAACTGATTTAAGAGTTTGCATCTCTTCTTTTGTTACTGTCATTGCCCTGTCATTAGCTACTATTACTGGTGGCTTGTCACGTTGCTGCTGCTGATTACTTTGCCTCCCCTGGAAAAATCCTGGCCACGCCCATGCCAGATAGTAAGGATTGAAGCCGTAAAAAAATACGGTAACTTAGAAAGTTCACACACGAAAAAATGATATACATTCCTAGGAACTACCAACAACAAAAGAAAACCCCTGTTTGATTGGAATGTTTGGAAGTTTAAGATTTCATGTCATGTTTGAGGGCGCTATGCATGCGCAGTTGCTTTGATCCAATATTTTCATTCATGAGTCTGTGTGGCAAGTGACAGCGCCACCGGCTCAGGCTGCCTTGATGTCGCTTTTTTTTTTAATAATAATCGGAAAATAAGGTCAAATGGGATATGAAGGCGCAATCTTAAGGATTAAATTAAAAGTTACATTTTAATTGCACAAGCCCTTTCAGCGCCCTGAGGCAATATTTGGGGGGACCCAATGTCAGTCAGATGCCCCAATGTAAAGTATTCATTTCAAAACGTTAAATTTAAAGAAGTAGACTCGACTCTTATTCTTATCATGAAGGGATTCAAATGTATACAGTACATGTATGTTCGAGAATACTGTGCGACTAAAATTGGGTACCCCGCGAATACAGTCTATTTATGCGATGACCATTATTGAGTAAATTGCATTGAAAAAGAATAAAAGCTGGACAAAACAGTCAATCCGTGCCTTTGGAACTGCTTAAGAGTCATGACTAAAAAACAGGGAAAAAAAGGAAAAAAGAAAAAGTTTGCTTTCCCACACCGGGAATCGAACCCGGGCCACGGCGGTGAGAGCGCCGGATCCTAACCACTAGACCATATGGGATCAGCTTAACACTTGAGGTAATGTTTGCTTTCTTATAACTTAATTCATTAATCGGCAGCGAGGCAGCAGCGCCCTCTCTTTTTGTCATGCTCTCATGTCATTGCCATATGGGCGGTATATGCTGGCATGCATGCACGGTGCTCATGTGTACAATGCATGAAAGATGATGCACGCCTGGTGCATTACTTCATGTACAATGTACAGTGTACGTGTACTTTTACTGGTGAATGTGTGGAAAAGTGAAATTTATGAAAAGAGCTAAGAAACACCTCCCTCTTATCCTGGAAAACCACGTCCAAGCACGCCAAGAATATAACAAGAATGAACTTGTAATGCACACTCAGGTAAGTAAGTGTGTGTGATTTCCACTCAAGAAAAAAAAGTCTTGATCATCATCGAAATTGTTGGGCCCTGGCCTGGGCCTACGCACAGTTTCACTTTAACTTTATAAGTGGGGATTAACAGAAGGGACATCTACATTTAAACTTTTGGATTCCCCTTGGTAGATGACTGTGACATCATGCCCGATGACTGTAGTGTATGGTTGATGTTGTGAAAAGAAGGCAGGCTTTTCAGGTTTTGAGGGAAATTATGAGGGGAAAATGTGAGTGTTTTAACACATGACACATGGTGGAGTAAAATTTGCATGGCTGGTTCATTTGTAGGAAAGTCACATTTTCTCACAATTTACAATTTGAAATGTCCAAGAAAACAGGGTCAGGGCAGTTAAGACAGTGTTGCCTTTGTCTTTTGGGGGGAATGACCAGTTTTGCGCAGATTAACATGACAACGTTAAGGCCCTTCAACTTCAAGTACTTGGTCCTTACTGGAATACTCCGCTTGGGAGTCTCACAAGTAAGAGACCTTGGGGCTTGGAGAGTGACTACATTGAAATTAGACATTAAATTTTAAATTTAAAATTGAATTTGAAATTTAGAAAAAAAAAAGAAATTGAGTTAATTCGGTTGTTTGTGTTTGATTATTTGTAATCTGTTTGGGTGTTGTCAAATATAAACAATCAAACAATCTCTTTGAATTTGTGGTGGCTGAGGGCATCAATGGCTGAATGGTATCCTGAGGGAGTTTGTACCATTTTTGAACAGTCCTTTCAAACCTTCAGAGAGTTTGGAGTTATTTCTTCTACAAGATCTAGATGTCTTTGGTAAACAGGCATCTAGTCTAATGGGTACTTGAGGCCATGGAATGACTATCCTGGATTTCCGTCCACCACCCACATACTGCTGAAACAGCTGCCCAAAAATTTCAGTATTTTCCAATTTTGTTTTTTTTTCAGAAAAATTATTGTTTTTTCCTGTTTGGCATGGTTAAAAATGGCTGCAAAGTAAATTCGGAGTTCGTAGTGCGCCCACGTACAAAGGGTGAGATGAAATACAAACTCAACTTACATGTAGGCTGGTTCCCTTTGGATGGATGCGTACTCGCTATCGATGTGCAGTATGTACACCAACTAATGAATAATGAAAAAAAGCCTCATGGGTTTTCAAAATTGTCCGGATGGAAATCTAGGATATTCATTCTCATGGCCGTATTATTGACTATGTTGTAGAGATAGGTGAGCTGGTATATCTGTGTTCGGGGGCACTGTAGTCAGATGCCATTTATGTGCTACTTCCTAAACACGTGGGGATTTTTCAACGAAAAGAACAGACCGGTAAAGGGAACTCTATGCGTTCATTTGCGTTCAATTAATGCGAGCATCAAAACTCATATTACACTCCGCATATTCTCTGCTGACTGGGCCTGGGAAGTACGAGTTGACTCGGGTGCGAGCCAACGTGGGTACGAGTGAACTCTGGTGTGAGTTGACCTGGGTACCAGTGCAGTATGCACAGTTTGGCACTTCCAGCAAAATGAGAGTTACAAAGAAAAGACGATCGGCTGATGAAGGGATTTTCAATAGAGGACATTGCAAGATCAACTGATCTTGCAGAGAGTGACCAGTCACGCAGACTGACCAGACGAATGGACCTTATTGCTGCAGAGCACAGTGCCTTGCGAAATTGGGGACGAGTGCTGGATATGCAGCCATTATGATTTTCCAAACTCTTTGTTACAAAATGATCTTTGCAGACTCAGCAGTCCTTCTTGACACTATTTATGTTTTTTTTTCGGGGGGGGGGGAGTAAAACTTGAACTTTTTCCTGTTATAGTTATTCCAGTATTCTTCTGTTTTTGATGTGCAGATGGCATGGGTGTAAAGTACACATATGGTGACTCTCCAGTTTAGTGCTAATGATGTACATGTAGGTGTACGAGTGAAATGCCAAAGAATGTCTGATAAGTAGTCAGTGCTACTTAGAACACCCTGGAGCAGATAGAAAGGGAAATAACAAAGCTGGTATCGATGAGGAAGAGGCTGATCACGTAGTACCAGCCACAGCCTGGATTCCATTCAGATTCTCTCCCTGCGGTCTTCTCCGGGGAACAATTGTCCCAGTGGCTGGATTGATGCGCTGACATCTCCTGGTTATTCATGAGTCCTGCATATAGTATGGGGGATTACCTGTCCCTATAGTGGTCCCCAGCCAGCTCTGCAGCGGGGACATGGCTTGCAATGGCACAGACCCTGTGCTGTCTGTCCAGGACTGGCATTATCGAGCGGAGGGCAACACCTCGTTTGTCATCTTCAACCCCAAGGTAGGTCTACAGGAGTTGACCAGATGCAGCTGCGATGGGTCATAAGAACCACATCTTGTTGGCAGTTCTACGGAAGAACGCTTTAGTGCAGTGTCAGTGCACAAAGGTTCGAACTTCAGTTTCCAAGTTGTCTTTCGCTCCCAACATTTCATGATTTAAATTTGCCTTCGGCATGTTTTCGTACTTTGGCTTTCATTGAACTGATTGACAAATTTTAATGTTTCTGCAAAATTGGCATCAGACATTTTATCTGACCTAAGTGCAACTCAAAAATTCCTAAAACTTTTCCACTTATTGTTAATTTTACTGATACTGTATGCGGACTTTTTCACCCAGTACTAAGACTGTATTAGTTTTTTTCCAGCAGATTGGTAAATTGGAAATCATTAAATATACTGCATTTAATGAAAATCAACACAACTTTCTTTTCTAGACACGGACGATACTGAAATTAAGGAAGAGATGTGTTTCAAAGGACTCGTGTTTGAAGGTAAGACTTAATTGTGCTGTATTTGACTTGGCAATAAAATCTTCCACCTTTGTGTCTCTTTTATGCCTCTGTGCGAGATGATAAAGTTGAGAAGAAAGTAAACCTTTGCACCCAGTCAACAGATCACCCTGTGAAATGTGGCCGGTTCAAAATTACAGATGCTCTTATCTCTACAGTTTAATTGGAAACAAACTTGTGAAGAGAATGAAAGAGGGAAAGAAAAAGATTCAAACCTGGATTGTCCGAGTAAGGGGCATAACTGTGTAACAAAATCACCTCTAAGAAATGCGACACATATTCTGAGATCTATCACAATATCATATGCACCATGTTTGGCGAACTTAAAGAGTTATGGTTATGTCTGCTGTTTGAGAATTATTCTTTTGTATACATATACTTGTAATTTATGTTCTAGGCTGCATCGATTGTTTGTACATCTCAGTGTGTTACTTTTCAAAACTGTTACAGCCACTTGTTGGCTTTAAGCTTTCATTTTAAATTTCAGTTTGGAGATGCATCAATTGTGGAAATGTTAATGTTTTGCCTCTAGTGTAAGGTGTGTTGCCCACATATTGGAACTTCTCTTATTGGAAGCAATTTATAGTTTTTATTCAGAGCCAAACACGTCCACCTGTTTCACGATAAATTTTACAAATTTTTTGTGTGGTAATACCATATTTTAGCATTCTCGCATTGCAGTTACCTGCAAAATCGTTTATACTTCCTCTTGCTAAGGTTTGTAACGACGTTTGAATTCATTGCAGGTGGTGGCCGATGATGTTCAACCATTTCAGGAGTTTATTGAAACTGCAATCAAACCGTTACTAGGAAACAAGTTCATCAGTCTTGCAGTATGTTTCAAGTCATGTTACTACTTTTACTAGCCCATCCCCACGACGTCCTCTTGCCCCACTCCACAATTGAAAAGACATCAGTATAAAGCACCTACAAAAGTACCAAGAGAGATCAAAAATGGAAACCCCCAAATTCATGTATGGTGGCATTTTTGGAGACGGCCAAGAGAGTTTTAGTTTAAACCTTTTTTCTCACCTGGGTGTTCTTCTTCACATTCCAGGGCACTTTTGTGTCGTCCTCAGGTTGGGCCATAACAGAAGGGCTGCCATTTTTCACAGAACCTGTTCAGTGGCTCAACCTTTCAGTAGCTCCATGGTCCAGTGGATCTTTGACAAGTTGGATCCAATCCTGTTTGTGTCCCTGCTTATTTCACGTTTACATTCCCGAGCAGTTTCTGGAAAGAGTTTCAGCGGACAACACTTGATGCCCTTGCGCATAAACCTATGAGACTTGTTTTGCAAAAACCAAAGTGCTTTTTGAGCAAAATGCTTTGGAATTTTCATTGCTAGTTGTCACTTTTTAGGCCATGTCATCACTTTCTGAGGGCTGTTATACCAGTTTAAGGGAAAGTGAGTGTTGTCCATGTATGGAACTCTTTCCCAGGTTTTTTTAAATGGATGACCACGGAGCTGAACTGGATATGTGATAGTGTTGATGCTTGTCAGAGTGGGGACTGCTGGGAGTTGGAGCCGGTCAGGGATTAATTTAACCCTAACAGTCCTCAGTCCTCCAACAGGTGAAGGATTGAGGAGTGTTAGGGTTAATTTAATTTATTACACGATGAGTTCAACCTTGTCCCCATGCCCTTGAGCAACGCCCTCACTTCCATACCAGTTGTTCCCCCACCGCTGTATTGAATTTATATCGACATACCTAAAAGGCTTGCATAATATAATTAGGTGTGGAATAGTGCGACAATAGTTAGGTATTAGTTTGCCAGCTTGTTTCAGTACCCACAAACTCTCTGTGCTTTTTTCAGTGTATTATCTGTATTCATTGGGCCCATCTCAGATGGGGGGGGTTGGTGTACGGCTTGAATGCAGCCATTACGGGCTGAAATAGCTAATAGATATATAATTAAATAAATAAATAAATAAATAAATAAATAAGCCCCCAAATACTTTTGCTTCCAGTTTCCTGACTGACCCTAATTTTTCAGTCTGCCCCTAAAATTTTCATTGGCAAGTTATATCTTTAAAAATGTCCAAAAATAAAAAAAAAACCTAAATAAATAATAACTCCTGTTGTCTTTTCTGTCATTACAAATCACTTCTGAACAACCATATTTTCATGTTAAAATGTTACTTTTTATTTATATGTTTTCCTGCTTACATCTGCAACTTTTGAAAAGAAACTTCTGTTATTTTCAGGAGTTCCCTTCGCGTTTCGCTGTCACAGTGGTGAAAACGTGTGCAAAGCTCAATATATTAAAGCAATGCTACGCTGGTTCCCGCTGCGCTGCGCCCATGCAAAGAACGAAAGATGGAAATGTTGCAACCATACAGCTGTACCTAGAAAAAACATCAATGTTACAAGAAGATTTCTGCAAGTTAATTCACAGAACTTCAGTCTGTTGTTCTGTTTGTGTATTTTTTATGTTCACAAGTTAAATTTGAGGTTGTTTTGCTCGTACTTGAAGCAAGCGTGCTTCCTCAAAGTTTCGTGCCGTTTCGTGGCAAGAGGTTTATTGCCCGCCTGCTTGGATGCATCATGGATGCTTTTCACACGATACACAGACATTGTTGGCCAGTTTGCCGTCGTGATTACCTGACAAGCATTGTGCATAGTGGTGTAAATTGTCCATAATTCTTAAGAATTGCCAATTGTAGAAAGTTTTGCGTAGATTAAGGCAAGTTTTTATCCCTTTTTGAGGCATTTTTTTGGTAGCGTTTGTCCCCGTTCTTGCCATTCAGCCAGCACAAAAAAATTGAACCCCCCAAAAAATTCTGACCTACCAACCCTATTTTTGAGAGGCATGTAATCAGAAGCAGAACTTATTTGGGGGGGAGGGGCCTAAATAAATAAACGGAATAATCTGCTCTGCCCTCACAGTTACCCATTTACACTGGGGGGGGGCACATAGAGGTAAACTGACTTGCCCGGGGTTGCAGCATGTAAGAAGCCTCGCTGGATTTGAACCTGGGCACTGTGATCAGGAATTAAGAATCCTAACCAATAGACCACTTGCCTGATGGCCCTACTATACTACCAATGAACATGTGGCAAGTTGATTGGAGGCCTGGTGTGTGCCTGACTAAATCTGATTTGTTGATGGTATTTCAAGGGAGACTGCAAAATTCAAACTGAGTTACACAGACCTTGTGATTGAGTTTTTGGGGTCCACAAAGCCCTCGAAAATCAAAGGGTTAGAGTATGCTGTAAACTAATGTACATATGCAGAGAATGAGTAGTTTTAGAAAAATAAATGAGTGCACTGTTTGTATATGTTTGATGGATGTGTATTACTTTTGGGCAAACAGACAATAATACCAGTCAACAGAGATTTCCTGGAGACCCTTGCCAAGTATTTTGAGCCCCTGCGCCCAGTGAAGCGTCTCAACACGCAGGTGGACGTCAGCAAGCAGTACGCCCTCTGCCTTCCCGATTTCTCTTTTCTCCGATATCCAAAGAAGCTGCAGTCTGATGGACCAACATTCTGCATTGAGATTAAGGTACACATGGGATGGCATTCACCAGGGTAATGTTCGTCTGCTAGGCACCGGTTAGCTTGGTGTAGCAAGTTGACATCTGTTCTTTCAAGTGACTAAACTCTAAACTTGGTGGGGACGGATGAAAATATTGAAGAAATGGGAAAAGGTCTCAGCATTGATTTTAGGGCGCACTTTTACCTCTCCCACACTTTTTTTGCATTCTTGTAAAAATAAATTGAAAGCAACGTTACTCATTCATCTATAGATAGGTTTCTATCGGCAAATTAATTTTGTATAAGATGATATATTCCATAAGGTACGGAGATGTAGCGCCTAAATATTAAAGATGGCGTCCATCTTGGAAAGCTTTGTGGCTACCCTTTGAACGCAGAGGGAGACAAACCCTTGTGGGTCGCCAGCCTATTTATCATGGCTTGGAGAATGCAGCTTCTTGTCCGAGCTGTGTGAATGTGCTTCGAATTGGAAGAATAAGCCAGTATATATTGATGAGACATGCAATGGATTAGCTTTGCGTCATCCCATGGGCTCTGCATCACATTCGTTGATTATTCAGAAGTTTGGACAGCCATGTTCTCTTGATTATATCAAACTTCAAGTGTTAGGAAATTGTGAAAATTGGCCAAACTTCAACTTAGAATTTGAATGTTTTTGTCTTTGCTTATTTCTTTTACAGCCCAAAAGAGGATTTTTGCCCCTGCCTGGTCAAATTCCTCGCGATCTTGCCATAAAGTATTCTGTCTGTCGTTACTGTCTTCTCCAACAGTTTAAGGTGTGTAATTAAAATAGCTTTTTGCATTGAGAACGTGTTGCTGATCAAAATGAGCTTTCTCAGGTTACATCTTTTATAGCTGACAACATTGGAACTGCTCTGTAGAAAGATGAAAAATTGTTATCACTTGGGCAGAAATGGTGTTGAAAATAGTTGAGAACTGTGCTTGCTCACTGAGATGTTCTCAATACTCAGAACTTAAGAATAATAATAATCATCTCAACACTATTGCGTAACTGTTAACAAAGATGGACCGGACCGCTTGCTCCAAGTAAAAAATCAACCTACCAAATCCTTGTTAAAAATCCTACTTGGTATAGAGACAGTACTGACGCTGAACTCCCTGTGAAGTTATATCATATGGCATGCTGTCATTTGGAAGCAAAATGATAAACTGAGGTCAGATCCAGAGATGTGTCAAATGGCAATTTTGGAAATGAATACTGCACTCAAGTGTAGTGATTTATAATTGGGCGAATTTGTGAATGGGTGCAACAAGTTTGTTGGCAGGAAGGATAAGCAGTGTGTAGGGACATGTGTAACCAGCTGAACGAATATTGTGCCCAAATGCTGTTGCATTAGTAGAGGGCTCATTTCACAACACGATAAGGCAACTTTTAAATCAATTAAAAATGCGTGTTCTCTCAAACTATGCACCAAGACAGTGCTTAACCTTGAGGTTGGTTATTATGTACATATCCAAATACTCTGAGTTTGTGATTGTAATGTACTCATTCTAAGATTTGTTGCTTCAGATGAACTAAAAATGCACAGAGGACGAATTATGGGCCACTTTCCTTTTGAAAATTGAGGCATGCCTGAAAAGTTGCAATCTTGTAGTCAAGTTCACAATGAGTCCTTTTGCAAGACCAGTCAGAAATCTTTTCACAAGACCCGTCTTTAGTGTCTTGATGAACAATGGCAAAAGAGTACCTCTGTCACAGTTCCTCTGAATTTTGTGACTTGGCTGAAGACTGAATGACTGGTGATGGACTTGAAAGGACTTGTGATAGACTGGACTGCAACACTGGTATTAAAGGTGTAAGTTATAATGCAGTGCATCGATCCTCATCACCATGAACAGCTGTTGAGCTGTTGTCGTGATACGTCTCACATCGCACAAGCATAGATCCCAGCTGAACAGATCTATTTATAATACCATGCTATGGTATTAGAATGACTCGTACTAATTAAATAAACAGCGGGCTCTCCAAGCTAAACAATATTTCACTGTTGTCAGTATACATACAAGAAGTGTGTATTCATTGCTTGCAGAGAACTTTTTCTTGAGTGGTCCAGTGGTCTCTGTTTTTATTGACATTGTGTCCTGCCCGTGAATGTCAGAATTTTGAAATTTCAGAAGACAACACTCTGAAATTCTGAGAATACATTGTAGATACAATGTAACCAGGACAGGGACGACATAAAAAAGAGAACGAAGCCATCAACATTACTCTGAACTTAAAATATACTGTGTTAGATTGCTTCAGGGGGACTTTACTCGTGAAGTTTTAACAAGTAAACATTGATTTAGTTTTGATTTATCACCAAATATTGACAAGTTCCCCCTCCTAAACTTCCCTTCCCCTTTAATCTCATAAAGGTTCAACAGGGTATATGGGAGAAGCGTAGTCACTACTGTCCACTAGACCTATTTTCGTGGTGAGTACTCATGAATTTCTTTTCTCTCTTCTCTTGATGGTAACTTTGTGGTTGAGTTAATTGGATACTTCAGCGGTGCAGTGTCGGGCCGCTAGTTTCCTAATCATGTTGCATATTGATGGACACAATTAGGGTTGATTGACATCAGTGTTCGGATTGAAAAAAAACCAAAACTCATGTCCTTCCATCACGTAGTGGAACACAGTGGTGTAACGTGAGTTGGTTTCTTTTCAGGGGATTATTCAACTCAGTCCAGTTTTGATCAGAAACCAGAATGTGATGCCACAAAAAAATGCCATGGTACTTTCATGTGGTTCCCCATCAATTGTTTATGCTTGAACGATTTTACTGAATGAAAAAAACTTTCCGCATATATTTTTTTACAGCAGTTTCCTTTTTACTGCATACCATATGTGTGTCCATTGTTACCTATTGCATTTTGCTTTGAGAGTAATTTTCAGGGGCTCACTCAGGGGCTCAGCAACTGGAAAATGTACTTGAATGTTAAACTGTGAGAGAAGCAGTTTTGTAGAAGTGTGAGTGATGTAATCTTGGTCAGGTGATCATTTTGTGTTAAAACCAGAAAAAAAGAAGAATTTTAGTGTATCTGCATTGTATTTGGCAGTGACCCATCCAGAATGAAGTACAGCCTCAACATGTTGCTGGAAAACCCTCAGAACAACTTGAGGATCTTCAAGGTAAACAGCGCCGGGCATTAAAAATGTCTTACACACTTTGAATAGACACTAGTTGGTGACCGGCGCGATATGTGATGTGGCATTTTTCTTCAAGGTAAACAGCGCCGGGCATTAAAAATGTCTTATACACTTTGAATAGGCAGTAGTTGGTGACCGGCGCGTTATGTGATGTGGCATTTTTTTCCCACATCCGAGAGGCCGTACGTTCTTGAAGGGGATGAAGGATGTGTCCCCACATCACAGCAGTCAGTAACTCCTTGTTATATCATATCACTATGTCAACAAAAGGCAAAGTCTGTAACTTAGATTGGTAAACATAACTCAGCCTTTGGGTACTGGCTTTCAAGATTCCAGAACTTTTTTTTGTTGTGGGGAGAATTTTTTTTGGGGGGGAGGGGGGGACCAAAACTTTAGATTTGGAGAATTGTTCATAGAATCATCATGGCCTTTCTGAGATGATAGACTGAAATTTAGGGCCGTTTAATTACGTAGGTTCAGAAAGGAAATGAACAGAACTGTAAAGTTATCAATTCTATATATTTACCAGAGCCCTTTTTCTTGAGGGGCATGGCCCTGTGTGTCTTACCCTCATGCTCGGTTTTGTGTGGAATCGTGTTGGCACATGTACAGGGTTTCATTGCTCTGTCTTGCATCATGCCCGTCCTACCAATCCCACGTTCCCCACACCGTGCCTTATATCTCTGCTACACAAATCTACTGTGTACAAGATGTGATATGAAATAAAGAATTCCAATCCAAGGAGGATTGTTCAGGTTTTGTTTGAAATGGTGGCGCTGTTGGAGTTTTTGGGGAGAGTTATTTACCCTCTGCCCCATTTGGGTTTTACATTTTTTTCGAGATATCCATTTCTCTGATGCTATTAGACTGAGTTATTCCCTCTTTTAAAGGATTCACTCAAATGTGATTTTCCATGATAAACCAAAACTTTTCCTTGACCAACTAACTCCAGGACTGTTACCAGTTTTCTTTCATGTAAATTTCCCAGTTTTGCACTTAATAGCTTCTTATTTGTCTCAAACAAAAGAGGACGGCTGCAGGTGTTCAGTCATTGATGTACGTGTATTTGATGTCCACATTTTCTCTGCCAACAGGATGGGGTCGCCATCTACCACGTCCAGGAAAAATCTACCCCATCAGAGGCTGAACAAAGGAAATTGGCGGAACAGCTGCAACAGTATTTTGGGGACACAGGTGCTGAAGAGGACACCAAAGATCACTTGCTACAAAGGTAGGTCTGAACGTGGCGATGTATTTCACGACGCCTGGCACTGGGCAATGATTTTGTGCAGGAGCCGTGTTTCTTACAGCGGCAACTTGGGGACATGTGCTGCCTGGTTTGCGTGTGCATGTGTAGAGTGTACGCGACCAATTTCCAGTGGAATGTGTAAAACACCTGCTGTGTCTTTATCATTCTACTAGTTAATACTCCTGGATGGGTAAAGACAAGTGCAGGCGAAGAGGCTTGCTCATGGACACAGTGAATGGTTAGCAGCAGGTGGTTTCAAACACACGACCTTGTGATCACGAGTCTTAGATACTAACGATTACTCTCTCCACCAGTCGGGGTGTCCCCGGGGTCTTTTTTCAAGGAGCTGCTAAGGGCATGTCCAAATCACCTGGCTGTGGCTAGGGGCATTACATGGGTCCATTGGCAGTGGTTGCAGTCGCCAGCCTGCAGCCACAACTTTCGGACAAGAGCACCCGGTGCATGGAATCCATAAGAGAAGGAAAGACAAAATGGGAGTATCTTTGGAGAGCGTGCGACGAAAGAGAGGATTGAAATGGAGAGAAAACTAAGAATGCTCTGAACTCTTTTAGGAAATCAAGTCAGTGAGCTTTCCTGAGCCAGTAGAAGGTTTTGATTATTTAGCTAGGATTGATCGGCAGAAATCCATCCTAACCACACAACTGATTAATTATATATAACAGGTTTTGCCCTTACCCAACGTATATTAATAAGCACCGTATGCTCAGTGCTTGTCCAAGAGCTTGCGAAAAAAACCTCACAAGCTTACTCGGGTGGGACTCGAACCCAAGACCTCCTGCTTACTTGTGCAGATGTCTTAACCACTTGACCACCGAACTTGCCGGGGTCGGCTGGCCGGTCCGAGTCAAATGAAGCAGCGGGTACCGCAAACTATTTTCTCTGCACAACTGATTGTGCAGTTATTGGCATGGACCCGGGGACTAATAATGCTATTAGTCAATGCACTGCATGAGTGATCAAGAGGTTGTGCATTTTTGCTTGGCAATAACGGCCTGTGAGGGCAGTATACCACAAGGAGAAGGCCATTTGCATGTGTATGGCCAGTTGTCATTGGAATTCACAGTCTTGGCATATTTCTGGACCTATAGACGAATCCCAGGAGACGCCATTCCGGCGGGGCCGTCGCATGCAAGCGTGAGTTTTAACTTGAGCGTGCGCGCGCACTCTGGCAAGTCACGACACCCTATTGGTCGGAGGGGAATATTACGGAGAGGAATGTGTGCGAACAGGATGGCCCTGCAGTCATGGCGTCTCACTCTTTTTGCCGGATTTGTCTGCGATGTTCCAGTTGATATCCAAACATGCCAGGTGGCTATTGCGAAGTTTTGACGCGGTGTCTTTTCTCTTTCCGTGCATTTGCAGCTCCTGTGTCCAGTCATTTCTGGACATCATCATCCGGGCCTTGCTGTCCTCCAATACAAAGAATGGTGTGAAGCAAACGACGCGCGTGTACGCACCGCCGCACGCACTGCCGCACGCACCGCAGACCTGTGCTGAGAGTGGCTACAATAGCTGGCCCAAAGGTAGTCACGGTGACCAGGCTTCACCACTGGGGGCAGTCCAGTAGAACACACTTATAGTTTGTGACTCTACGCATGGTTTGGCAAGAGGGCTAATCCATTAATACATACAGTGTATTGTACATACTTATGCAATTTGAGAACCACATTTACATTATGGCTGAGTGGGTAATTTTTAAAAAAATTTTCAGAATTAAGTTATGTTATTTGCAAACACACTGAGAGCGTCCATATGTGAGCAAAATTGGGCTTATAAACATCAGGATCATAAATGAGTGAGGCTTTTGTCTCTCATTTCAGAAAAATACCCCACTGAGGTGATGTCGTCGCCAAGTGAGAATTGCATCCTGAGGAAACTTCTAGCTGCCCAGTCGTCGTCTGGCCTGGAGATCGACGTCATCTTACCGCTGTATGAGAGGGTCTTGCATCACCTGCAGAGCCACCCTGAAGATTGGTAATACATCAGCTTGGCTTTCGAGCAGCCTTGTAAAACTTGTGTTATTCCTAAAAATGCCTCGATCTTGCCAAGGCAGGTAGGTCATTGCAGGGATTACCTCTGATGACACCACCTGACCCAGGTGATCATCTCATATCCGCCCTGAGCGGAACCAGGAGAGGGTGCAATTTTCCAGGCAACGGAGGCTCCTTTGGTGGGAACTACACTTAGCAGGTTCACAAACATCTAGGAAATGCACGCGTTATGGTCACATCACCGCCAACAAAATGAACACTCCCCACCGACATGGCTCTTTTCAACCGATGAGGGGGTGCTTCTGCTCCAGGTGGATTGACCTGTCTGAGCAAGGCCACTGTGGGCCGTGCTCAAAATTACTTCTCTACGGCTTGCAGAATCACACATAGCTGTAGAAAGTGGCTGTAGCTATGCAATGCGAACACAGCCATACTCGCAGGAATGCCCCAGTAATGGCAGAAATCGTACCAGCAGATGGACAAAATAATTTTGGATTTTTTGCCCTGCCCAACGTGTATTTTTAACACTGTATGCTCAGTGTATGCCCCCGAAGGCTTGTGAAAAAACCACAAGCGTACTCGGGTGGGACTCGAACCCAAGACCTCCTGCTCACTAATGCAGACATCTTTTTTCACAAACCTTTGGGGGCATACATTGAGCATACAGTGTTACAATACACGTTGGGCAGGGCAAAAAAATCCCAAATTAATTCACATCTCCCCGGCGCAAATCCATCCTTGAAATAGTTGGACAAAATACTCGGCCTTTTGATAATTATTTGCATGGACTGACTCTTGCCACAACTCCCAGTCATATCCACCTTGAGCAGATGCACCCCTCATCTGTTGAAAATTGCCAGCGTGTGCATTTCATAGTAATTTTTGAACCAACAAAGTAGAGCTGTCACTCTCAAAGGAGCCTTTGTTGCCAGGAAAATGGCGCCCTCTTTTGATCCCGCTCAGGACCGATTGAAAAGTGTGTCTCAGCCGCTGAAGACTTGTGCAGGAATCTAATTTGAGCAGACCAGTTTGAGAGAATGTGAATTCTCTAGATGTTCAGTCATGCCTTTAATCAGCCTGGAATTCCAAAGGAACTTCTGAAGAATAATGTGTTTGAGTATTGCATCGCCGCGGCAAAAAGATGGTAAAATTTATGGTCCGGGCAAAAAGACATTCTCAGTTTTGTTCTTCTCCAGTTCCCTCTTCTGATGAGACATCGAAATTCAATTTTTGTTCACACTCACATTTGGGTCTCAGTCAGCCAGGGGTGGTACTTTAGTTTCCGTTGTTTTACCATCAAAACGTCATTAGGAAGAACTTAAGATCCAAAGGTAGTGTACTTAAAGACACCAACAATGCCTACTGAGAGCCCTCGCCAAGTTGCCCGTGCAAGTTTTTCGTGCCATTTTTAGGTTTCCTCCAAAACATGTCCTGTGTTGTAGTCCAGACGTTCACCATACCAGACTCCAACGCCAGTCACGAGGTCACTCACAAGTAGCGGGTAATTAATGAGAAGGAATGCTTTTGTAGCAATTCATGGGAATAGCTTGTGGGTGTTGAATTCAGACTGAAGGCCTTGTGTATGGGGTCCACAGCAGTGAGTGTGTCATTCCCAACTCTTGTAATGCACAGTGAGAAGTACCGACTGGATTTTCCCTATGAGGGGGACTCCTCTTGCATGGACAAGGACACCAAGAGATGCCTGAGCAGCCTGAAGGAGAGACGAGCCAACGGCAAGGTAGACGTCTCCGGTGTCGGTATCAAGGATGCGGTAAGGTTGATCCGTGATTACCTCATCATGCGCACCTTGACCGATTGCTCCATCATGCTAGCCGTACAATTGGTCCCGCCTGAGAAGCGGTGAGTAGTCTCAAAGTTTAGCTCATGTTGTCACATCTTGAAATAGTTCACGGTACCTACTGCTAAATCTGACTCGGACCAGCCAGCCGACCCGGCAAGTTTGGTGGTCAAGTGGTTGAGATGTCTGCAATAGTAAGCAGGAGGTCGTGGGTTCGAGTCCCACCCATGTAAGACAAATACTGAGCATACAGTGCTATGAATACATGTTGGTATAATGGCAAAACATGTTGCTAGAAAATTAACATCCCCGCATAAATGCAAAGCACATCTTGAATAAGATAAACTGGGACAAAAACACCTGACGTCAAGCCCGCATGTTTGAGACATGTATGACCATACTGATAAGGCTGATGTCGCATGTGCATATTTAACATATCTATGTGCTGATAGAATAACACATTAGCTCATGGCAGACTGTCAGGGTGTGGCGCTCACGTGGGTAAAAACATTTTGTTAAAATCTGCTGTTATCTCATGTGTTAGATTAGGAAATTGGATATGTTGTGAACCTGAAAGTACTATTTCACTCCCAGAGTGATGAACCCCACCTGAAACATTACAGAACCTCAAGAAATTCACCCAGTTCACATTCACGTATGAATAGGACTGAAGGCATTTGGGAAGCTATCCCGTTCATGTCACGTGCGGCGAGTTTTGATATGGGATATACGATTTTTGCTCCATGAGTGCTGCGAGTCTGCATACATACCATTTAAAAAAAAAGGAAAAGACGGAGATGGTAGCAACTTATTTGTTGAAGTAGATATATCACTGAAGTTTATGCCAAGATAAGATCACCGTTTCTTTTGTGATCGTGAAAATTCGAATGTTGACATAAAGGCAAATAAAAACAGACCCCGAAACGCCCTCAGAGTAAATTAAAAGTGAGACAGAAAGCTACACTTTAGGAATTCCAATAACACAATTTGCTAGGAACTTGAAGAGCTCAGGCAACAAAATTTCTGCCACAGAGTCCCACTTATGAATTAGTGTAATAAAAAAAGGTCTGATGTCGTTAACTTATTTACCAGGTCCTCGCTGCCATGGGATGCCTTGTTGGTCCAGTCCCCTAAGGGGCAGAGCTACCTCTACTCAGCGTTGGTGGTGGACCTAGACCCCAAACCCTCTAGCAAGATCCCCACGTATGAATCACTGGACAGAAAGGTAGCCCTAGAGTACGTGAAGCGGCACCAGAATGGTAGCGCGGAGCCGTCCGTGGTCACCCTAGACTGATGACGTCTGCCAGAGGTGCACAGGCTGTACAACAGGGGGCGTGTCCCACCCCCCATTCTTTCTCTCACCCACCAGCCTAACCCATTATCTATGATTAATGTCCTTTCACAAGTCCAGTCATAAGTAACAGAGTGAACCGTGGCAAAGGAATGCTTTTGTCATAGTTCATTTGAATAGCTTGTGAATTGGCTTAAGACAGAATGACTTCTGATGGACTTGTGCTGGATTTAGAGGGACTTGCAGGGACTTGTGACTGACTCGAATACAACACTGTCTGTGATATGTTATTTGTTGCGTTGTAGAGCTGTATTCGGATTTACTTTGAATCAATTTATGGTGTGTTGTTTTCGGAACTGGACATGAGGGTGTTATATCTGGTGTCATCTTTTTGCACCAGTTGGCTAACGTTTTGCATTTAGACCAATGTAACTGAGATGCTATTGCTTCCTAGTTCTGATAAGTAAGAACTGTGGAAGACTTTCTTTTTTTTTTTCCTTTTTTTAAAAAAGCAAACCAGAAATGCTACTTGCCTTAACATGTACGTAACGTCATTTATTTTGGCTCTGTGGCTGGACAATCCTCTTCGACGCTGCTTTTCTTTTGTACAAAGTGCAATCAGCGAGCCAGGGTGTACGTTTTGGGGATAAACCTAATTTGGTTGGTTGGCTGACTGAACTGAAATGAGAGAAGTATTTTACAAAAAAGTCAACAGCATGGCTTGTCTTGGGGGATATAACCCCTTGTTTATTTGTGTTTGTGTACGTACAGCATTCTTGAAGTCAACTTCGGTGTGTGTGAACAGTAATTATGATGATGTATATAAAGCCTATAGTCCCCAAACTGAATTTCCCACGGAAGCACATTCTGCACCAACAGCCCCTTCTAAGTGCTCCATTTTGTAGGGCTGAGCCAAGTTGAATAATTCACTGTTTGAATATTCAACCTTCAATTCGATCCAATATCTGAATATTCTTACCGACCGACAGATTGTTGATGATTAAACCATATACAAAATCAGTTGCAATAAAGCACATCGTTGTACATTATGATGGCTAATAGCTTCTCCTGTTTAGGAGTATTTCCAACCACGATTTAGCGTCATTTAAGAGACAAACAATACTTCATCCTGGCCTGTTAAAAATTTCTAGTACTTTTAAATATTTATTGAATAATTTACTTCTTGAGGCATAACATTTCTGTCGCTTTTCATTTGAAACTGCTTGAAACAAGCCTCCATATTTGCAATTTTTCTCATTTAAAACGGAAGAAAATTCTCCCTTCCTTTTCATGAATTCTGCATTTGAATATTCAAATTTGGGAAAAGCTTTTCAAATATTCAATACTCGACTGAATATTCGGATATTCGGCACAGCCCTACATTTTCCCCCATTATTTTCCAGTGTCCGCACCATTTCCTGAAATTTGACTAGACTATAGCTGAAGTGTTGCATTGTCCGCCCACTGTGGAACCGTGGAATTGTCTTTGCAGCGTTCTAAATCTGAAATGTAGGTCATCATGATAAGTGCATGTAGTATGTAACAATTTCTCAGTGGCTGACCATCATGGAGGAAGCAAGGAGGAAGCTCAGAGTCGCGGCAGTCTTCATGCAGTTCATCACTGACATTGATGGCAAAGAGTTGACGGATAAATTCACAAAAATGCAGATGTTTGCTTGCAGTCTACATAATACTGGCTTCGACACTGAAAATTCATTCACTTGAGTGAAGAGCAAACCAGTCTTAAAATGGCATTGTTTTTCTCATGAATATATATATTTGTAAATGGAAATTGGCAATGCAAGTCTAAAAAATGGAGGTACATGAAAATGGGTGTTCAAAATGCATTTCAAGTTCTCCATTAACGAATTGGATGGGTCATTTGTATTATATTCAAAATTAACTTTCAAGAGTTAGTCTAACCTTTTATTAAATTTTACTCTGTAAACCAACAGAAAACATTTTTAATGTTGCACTAAGACCATGGTTTTAACATCTTGCTAAGAATGTAAACAGCTGGACAAGTTACCTCAATACTTATTCAGTAGTTTTGTTTTATACTAAATAGGAACTATTATTTTTTACAATAAGTGAGTTTTCTTTATGTTCAATTGTGTTTGTTTTTGTCACATCCTGTCTCATTCATGCATATTGTTTCCATCTTTTTTTCTTATGCTTCAAGCATTGTTAGCCACCAACTTCCCAAAATGCTTTATATAATTACATAGCATCCCAAACACATATTGGAGTAGTTAATTTGTTTCGTCTGACATGGGGGTATAGCCAAATTGGTTATTGGCATTTTTCTAAATGAATTGGTTTGTAAATGCCCCAAACCTTAAAAGATGCATGCGCAGACGGCAGTTTTTGTTTTAGCACTCTGTTATGTGTAATTACAGAAAAGCTAAGCTTTCACAGGTTTTCTCTCCTGTCTTGAACATTTCTTTGTATACCCAAGATTATCATGATAGATCTTGGCTGAACTCCCCTTTTGTATAGTAAAAAGAAAAAAATTGCAAGTCTTTAAAAAAATGTTATAACAGAGCAGTCTTTCATAAGTAGTTTTTGTAGTTGGAAATTTAAACTGTTATGTTAACCACATGCAAGATTGACTGCTGATGAATTTGTGGTTGAAAAAGGGAAATGGAAGGAAGATTGTGATCCCCAGAACACCATAGTGGTGCAGTAACAACCAAGCTGTCAGGAAATATTTTGGCTCTCTTCCAATTAATCTTTTTATCTGAAGGTGGAGGGGGTTGGATCTCTCGTTACCACTTCCCTTTTTCTAGTGCTGCTGATGTTGCTGGTTTGATGATTTCTGACAAGATCCCCCGTACAAATTTCACACATATGGGTTTGTCACTTCCAGCAAGCCAGCATTCCCACAAGAGGACAAGTTCATTTGATCAACGGGAAACCAGCCAACATCGTAGGCCTGAAGAGCTCAGTCAGCAGGCTGTCCACTGCCGTAATTGGAAGCTGTGTCATCATTTCCCCTTGTTCAACATCAGCTTGATGCTAATTTGTAAATTGTCTTGTAATCTCTTCTAGAAATTGATCCCACTGGAATAGAATTATCAGGCTATCCGAAGTTGAGCAATTTTGAAAATCATTTTGTTCACTCCAGTGAGTAAGCAGGGCCATACATCTATGTGAAACAATCAAAATACAGCACAGACAAGTGTCAAAAATTCTAGGATGACGTTGATGTGCCCTCTTGCACCCGCCCCATACATGCATTAGGAACAGTATTGATGTTTTTACACTCTCTCTAGTGTGTTCATGTGATGCCGATTTTTGTTTATTTCACTCGGCAGTTGGTGTGTTTCGTTTTCTTCCACAGTGTATATTTTTTTAAGCAAAACCAGTGAGTAATAAAGTTTGGTTGTGAAAATGCAACTTGTTGACATGTCTTCATCCCTGTATTTCTTGTCTTTTCCTCTTCCTCTCATAACATAACCGATAATGCTATAACTGATACCAATACTTGACGGGATTCAGTCATTATGCTAGAGCCTGCTGGAAATTTTTTAGGGGGGAGAGATGAACTTCCCCAGCCATGGAAATTTTGAACAGGTGGGAGGTAATAATATGTCTCTGTAATGTACTACATTCCTGCATAATCTTAGATCAAGATGGCATAGTTATGGCTTTTTTGTTATTTTTGAGTGTTATTGAATAAGTCTAAAACTTCTCTTCAATCCGCCTTAAATTTTTTTTTGCACCACGGGGGGGGGGGGGGTTCAATAGTCCACCTCCCAAAGTGTGGGGCATATACCCCCCTCCATTTACGCTCCCATCTTTTCCTGCCTTCATGGAATCTGTTGCCATACTCTGGATATATGTATTCTGTTGGTTGTTTGATTCCTCAATGGATGACTTGAAGCTACGCATGGTGGAAGTACTAAATTAGGTTAGGCTTGCGATTGCACCATGTAGAAGAAAATATCTCTTTATGAGTGTGTGGTTCTGAGAAGAAGCGATGGTGAACACTCGACTTTGGTTCGTCCTTAGGAGGGTGACTGGTTGCCTGGCTCCGAGGATGCTGGTTATAAGTGCCGGGGAGGATGGCTCAACCGTTCTGATGCTTCTGATTGGCGAAACGAAAGTCGGATAATAACCATAGAGCAAGGAACAGAAACCCTTAAAACAGCGCTAGCTTGGCCCAGCCGTCGTGCTGAGACTGCTGAGTGGAAGTACCGTAGCATCGGGGCTTACCCACGGTGTCCACAAGCTACAGTTACCCTTTAACAAAGATTTTCAGGGCTTTCTAGATAAGAGCCTCCTTTCGCAATTATGGTTCCCGGATGTCTCTTTAGGTCTGGGGCATCCCCAACAGGCCGTTCGTTATCTTGCGCAACGCTGTTAACGCAATGTAGGCCACAGAATCCTGTGCAGGCGATTTCCACAAAACAACCTGTCTCAGCACACTGCATGCACTGGAACTGCCAAACGCTGACCGTGTTTACATTTTACTTGAGTATTCTAAAAATACAAGGGTCTAGCGGTTACACGAGAATATCACGTTTAATTTTGTTTAGTTTTGAAGAAGCATCCACATGCCGTTACAATCAATGTTTGGTTTTGCATTCTTCGGAGCTCTTAAAGTTATGCTACTCCCAGTCCCACCACGGAGAAATTACAAAAATCCAACTGACTGCTCAGTGCCTCCATGGTCAGTGCTTCTAGTCCTACCACTGAGCTGAGGTAACGACAGCTTCACCGTTTAACGGTCTGGGAAAATAAGAGTGGAATTCGTTTTCTCATTTCGCCATGCAATTTGCGGGAAATATTCCTTGATTTTCAAATAGCCATTAAAACAGCTTCAATTAATGACGGTGGAAAAATCAATCGCGCGCACGTTTATAGATGGAGGACAGATACCAGTCGTGAAGATGGAAAGCTTTGACCTAGTACATGTACTGTCCATGTAGATATGGCGCGTGTACTTTACACGATGCATTTCAACAAGTCTAGGCAGGTCTTGCAGAAAAGTGGCCAGACCTTTTCAGACGGTCCCTAATTATACCCCAAAGGTTGTTGTGCAGACTTTCCGAATAACAAAACAGGATCGGCCTTGAGGTCAGGGCATCCCAATCAGCTGGTCATAACAGTGGTCAGCTCGACCCTAGACGACAAACCTGAAGGTGCTGTGTTATGATTGAAAACACCTGGGCTTCCTGTAGTGACAGAAAATATTTCTGCCCTATTAATTTAATAATGCTTTTAGCAAAAATCGAACGAGAACCAGCCACGACTAGTTCAATGCCACTCACATGAAATTTTGGCTGGTAACCTGTCCTTTGTTAAGGAAATATCGTATGCTTATCAGATCCAGAGAAACGGCTCCTGGGCATGGGATATAAGGAACTCGGCTTCTCCCCAACAAATCACCTCTCAGTCTCAATGGAATTTCCATTTAAAAATGCAAAAATGTATATACAATAGTGAAAACCAACATTACATTACTACCAGATGTTGACCTCGAACTGGATGACATGACCTCAGACTGGATAACAATTTTAACATAAAAACAACCAGAATTTCCACATGACATCACATCATTGATACGATTGGCCTTTCAATGGAAAGTGTCATGACTCTGCCTTTGAATAGGATACCCCTGAAGGCAAAATTCCTGGACCAAATACAACATGTTGAAACAAAGAGAGCAAATATTGCCACAGTCTTCCGGACGTACAATCAATGAACACAATCCACAACTTCTCAATGCTTCTGAAGTGAACATTTATTACAAACACAAAAATGTCAAGTAGAATAGATCTTCATAGTTTTTCTGACAAAACATACAAATTGCTGCTCGTGAAATTGCAGTTACAAAGTAACAGATATGTGGGGAAAAGAGCACCATATCAAAATAGACCAACAATTTTAGGCATTTAATATACATTTATACATGTACTTGTAACCGTTGAACAGCAACGAGCAAGAAATGACTTACAATCAAATTGAGTGTAATTGTACGTACACATAAGCTTTACATTTTACAGTACAGCACTGGGGTAAGGTTCCACTTTTTAACACCAATAAAAGCTTTGAAACGTGGAACTTAATTCATATATGCCATTAGTTCATGATGCCATTGCAAAAGTCTTCTGACCGTGTCTACAAAAAAAAGGTACAACTCAAAGGAAATAAATGCCACTGCAGTACAGGAATAGGCCAAATGTCAGTTTCAACTAACTTGGCAAGGACGGAAGTAAAACGTTAAAAATCAATTCTATTTAAATTCTGTTTCCCATGCTTGACACCGCTTGCAGGCTTCACTGTTGATTCTAATTATTCTTGTGTGGCCAACGTAAGCAGCTTGGACATGTCACCGACATGGGGTAATGTTTCATGACTGTTGTGTTAGAAGTAATTACATGTATTACCTACACTGATCATCTGTTGACATATAGATTTAGCGTACATATATACGTAAAATTACTGGCGTGTTCAGCAAACTGTCAACCGTGACTGAAAAACCAACAACTGCTAATGAGCACCAAAGTTCACATACGGAATATTTGTGACAGCAATGCAGTCGTCGTATCTCATATCCTCCATATGTAAAACCAAGAGAGAGCTTCTCTAGATGGAGAAGCTCTCCATCTAGACAAGCTCTCTCTGGAGAAAAGACCCTCAGCACATCCAGTCTTGTATAGGAGGTAGAAGTAATTTACAAAAGGTAAAGAATGCAATATTTGGTGTATCTGGGATGTCACAGCTGCACTTGGTCTTGTCAAGGGCATTTGGTTTGTTTACAGGATACATGTAAAAATGAATCTACAGTATGCATTCAAGAATCCAGATCAACAAAGACTTTGGTTTGAATGATCCACTTCATCACGTTGGTGAGCGGAAGTGTATCATGCAGAAATGACTGAAATACCCTGGACAAATGGAGTTGTTTCCATTTATCGGTATAATGCACATCAAAAAGAAAAACTCAAGTAAAACGTACTGTTTGGAGTCACATTTTGTAAAGCTAACAGATAGGTACAGTGTTTTTACATTCTGCAATTACATCACAACCGTCACTGTATCATATAAATGAAACTTCAAGAACTTCAACCAATTCAGATTGGGCAAAATTTTAGCCTCTATATTCTGTCAGAAAAAATATTAATAGATAGATCTATTTTATTCAACAATAAGCAAGGAATACATCTCAGTCCGTTGTCAGGATCAAGCGGTCATAACTTTGGTAAAAATCCAGTTGTGTCCATAAATTCTCGATATTACTACTGGTTCATGCCTGAACCGTCACATCATTTCGGTTAAAGTCTGCCGTACGTTGACGACTCGTATTCTGGTTGTGCATACGCATCTTGCAGTTTAGCAAGTCCAAGGCACTAAGCTTCGTCTCGCTGATGGTTTCCGTTGCCCCGTCGTACAGGACGCAGATGGAGCCTTCCTCGCCAATTCGGTAGGATACCTCACCGGGGTCCACCCATACTGTCAGCTCGCTGGGAAGAAGCAACTGCATCTCCTCCAAGGCGATATTGACCAACTGACCGGCCTTGGCCAACAGGGGATCCATCAGCATGTCGTTGATTCTTAGGCAGCGGTAGCCGCTGCCCCGGAATGGCTTGTCTGGGAACCAGTGGGACCTGTAGTGGTCGCACAATAGGTTGATCAGGATTTGAGAGAACCTCTCGAGACGGAGGGTTTGTTGCTCCATGTCCCGGCTGGAACGCAGGAAGTTCATCAAAAAGTGGACAGCACAAGTGACCTCTGCCTTCATGATTCTTGTCCTCTCAGACCCAAGTCTTGGGAACTCAGTAGATGGTAAATAATTCAAAGAAGCCTGGAGTTTTTGAGAGAAATCACTGGCAAGTCGTGGACGTCTCACTCAATGTTAGGTTCTAGCTTAGGTAGGCTGGAATGGCAATGACGAACGCTGACTGACGACAAATTCCAGTTTTGTTCGGGTGGTCCACTATGAACTGAGATGTGCTGCCAAGATTTTGCTATGTCCAGCTGTTTGTTGTGTACAACCTGTTGTGGGCCTACGCACACAACATTTGGGAAGACAGAAACAGCAAAGCTACAACTAAATCGGAATGTATTCATGTAAGTCAGCACTTACGGGACCGGGAAGTCACAAGCACGGCAAAGGAATCCACGACTGAAAAGAAAAGCAGCAGTATTTACAGCAAGAAATACAATCAACAGCAAAGCTGCAATCTATGCTGCCATAGAACGTACAGGATGACTACGCTGCGGCGAGCTAGATTGTATGCAAATTGCATGTACATTCTGACGTCAGAAGCGTGCCTTGTTTAGCCAATCAAAAGATAAATTTGACAATAATGATGTCAGGTCCATTAATAGCTAACCAATCAGAGTAAAGTATACTCAGAGTTGAGTGGGAGAATGCGTGCGTCACAGGTCGAAACCATAACAAGGAAAATGCTCGTGGGGGTCGAATTTTTTTCTAAGTAACTTCCATAGCTGTAAGGGATCTTGTAAACAAACCATAGAAGCCGCAGACTTGCAACAAGCTTAGTTCGGTGTGCTTTTCAATTCGACAGAAATGTCAGGAACAAGTTGCAATTAACAAACTTTCTGCTTCCCCCTCGATAGCGCCCGTCTTTACGCAATATTGAAAGTCTCTGAAGTGTGGACATAGTGCAGGTGCACGTGTCATTTCATTTTTTTAAACTTATATTAAAACTTTCAACCACTGGCAGATGTTTTTTCCTTTTCAATTTTTTATTGAGATCATGATTAACCCGCATGAACACAGACACATGTATAAACGTCGGGGCACACATGTAGCAATTTCCACAGTTTATTCATTTCAATGTCTTTACAATCACCATTTTGCCCTTTTTTACACAACTGTAAAAATATGCTAACTCAGGGCAAATCGTTATTTATTCCCACTTAGTCTGGAACATTTTCATATACGGAAAATATTTCCAACCATTGAAAAAACCCAGAATTTGTACATTTATTATATCAAAACAATATAGTTCTATGTTACAGGTGAGTAAATAAGTTCAAAATAAACAATACTATTATGAGATCTGCGCACATTGTGCAATATCAATTATGCATACTGGTGTGTAATGTGAGCCAAGTATTTTATGTATGGCAATCTTTCAATAAAAGTCTGACAACGAATGTGACATGTAAGAATGATTTGATAAATTTTTATGGAAAGCTTGTTTTACAATTTTCTTTGCGAGAAGGGAGAAAGAAACTAACCAACTGATGTGTTTATGTCACAGAATGCAGCAAACTTCTAAAAATTGTTCCTGTTGCATGAGAAAAGTGCTTGAAATAGAAGTCGAAGCTGTCAAAGCAACATGGGACAAGCAACTGATATAAGACTTATCAAGGACCGTATTAAAGCTGCAGTGCTTTCGTCTTTTGCAACAACTATTGCCAAAACTATCCAATGGTGTGAAGGAGCCACTGTTTCAGTTTGGTTTCTAAGGTAACTACTGCTTATGATTTCTTTCACATATTTCTTGCAGAAGTGGCTGATCTGCTTCATTAAAAATATTTCAAAGCACCGACAAATGAATTCAAATTTGCACTGAACTTGTCAAAAATACAACAATGTTACCAAAGAGCCCCCTTTTCTTTCTCGGAGAGTGACACAAATAACTACAACATTTACTGAAGCAAACAGAATATTCAAAATTCTCCTCAGCTCATTCAGAATTAAAACATCTGACAGGATTTCATCCTACACACGTTCACATTTCCTTAAAGGTTGAGTTTTTTAAACACAATGTATGTCACTTTTCCAAAATGCCAGGTTAAGTCAAGGTATATGTATCCATAGCTCTTACACAGGCTTAACCAGACGACCTACGACGCCCCCTCAGCACCCACTTAGAAAAATTACATAACACCAAATCCCCCCCCCGGGAGCACTGGCTACCTGTACACCCAGCAGCACCAGATATGACAATGATCCCACCCAACATTGTGATTCTGTACTCCTAATGAACGACGTACACCTGCCATACACCTGTCATACTACACAACTGCCTACGGACTAGTTCTGATGTGTTGATTGTTATGGCACTACTTACAAGGTCTATTTACCTTTTCTTTGCGGGAAAGAACAGATCTTTATTCCCTACTTTAAGAAGGGAGTTTTCTTGTCAATAATGTGCACACAACAGGGAGGATATTTTGTGGATGTATAACAGTGAGGTTCAGTGCACTCAGGATATGATGAGCTTCAACAGCAACTACTAGGTACTCTGCTTTTATCCATGTACCAAGAAAGAGTAGTAAGGAGTTAAACATGGTGATTTTTTGGGGGGTGGGGGGGTTTGAAGGTAAGGGCTGGAGAAAGTTGGGAGGGGCAAATGTTATTTTGATTTAGCACCAGGTTAAAAAAAAAAGAGGCAGGAAAGTTAGAGTTGGGTGAGGGACACCGGGGGTTGGTTTAGAGACTTTTTTTAAAAATCAAATCTGGGCTTCATCTAAATGCCCTGGCTTCAAATTGGGCCTCATGGCGAGGCGTGTGGCCTAGTGGTTAGAGCCTGTGACCCACAAACGTAGGGTCCAGGGTTCGATTCCAGCTGCTGGTAACATGTTGCAACCTCGGGCAAGTCACTCCCACTTGCCCCTCTCCATCCAGGAGTATAAATGCAAACCAGTGAGGACAGAGATGGTTGTGCCTGATTCTATAGCCCTGTGCTCCTGAAATGACAGTATCAACCTGTATACTCACTTCCCTGCAAGGAGTGTACAGAGGATTGTTGCTGGTGTGGTGAGCAGGGATGATAGCAGGTGCCTTGCATCCTCTGGTAACTTAAATAAAATCCTCATCGTTAATATGATCATTACCCACGGCTCCCGGCAGTATTTTCAAAAGTCCACTGTTGGAACCAAATGAAAACATAGAAGACATTCCCAACAGTTCTGTCACGACAGAGATGGGGTCTTAGCTCGAGGACGGAAATTCATGAACTCAAGGCCTAAAGTTGAGAGCGGGGAAATGCAGCTAAGTTTTGGGGAACCCCCTTAAAAGCCTCGATTTCCAAAACTGGCCTGGCAAGCTCGCAGGTTCATGTCACTTGGCAAACTGGTCGTAGAAAGCGATCTTGACCCTCTCGATGTGGTGGCACAGCTTAATGGCGGGGCCCAACTTGAGGTCCATGCATTCCTGCACAGTGGGCAGAGTGAGAAGTAGCAGGGCCTGGCCATCAATTTCCTGTTTGGCGAGAGGAAAAAAAAAACCCCAATAATCGCGGGAGTGAATCCCAATGAACGCTGGAGTTAGAAAGGGGGTTAGAGGCAAATCTGTCGTGATCATGAATTTCCTGATTTCCATTTCACTGAGGAAGGCCACAGATAAGTCCTCTCTAATTACGCACTTCCCCTCGTGTTTCCTGATTGGGTTGGCAAGTCAGTCGGATTCATCCAAGTGGCATCAGGGGTATAAATAGTTAAGTGTAAATGTAGACTTTATCAGAATGTTTCACAAATGTTAATGAGAGCTAAGTAGGCATTCTTTCTTGGGACCCTAAACCCCAAAATTAGCTGGGGGTGGAATCTGCCCTCAAATACTTTTTCAAAGGGTCCACGGTGTGAATTTTTCTTAGTCTCACATTTTGTTGTCTTTATACCATTCATCAATGGATGGTAATTGTTTGAAATCCATTTGGAGTTAAGTGTAACAAAAACTGTGCCTTTTACACGTTACAGATTATCCAAGCTTTTCTGAACAAGTGGGGGTGCTGTTGCTATGATGTAGATCAGAGAAGACACTGTTAAGTTGACAAGTTTTCATGTTCAAATTTTGAGCCCTTAGATTTCCTCTTTGAGACCAGTTAAGAGAAAAGGTTGCTCTCTGGCCTACTGCTGTATACTTACATGACAAGAAATATAAAAGTCACTCTTTACCAACTGGCTTTCAAGCCCAACTATTTCTTCAGTGTGTGTATACAATGCAACATCATTCCTATCCATTTTGAAAACCTAATCACATATCACTCCACACTCGTTCCGGCATAAAGATATTATCGAAATATTCCAAGGTTAAAAAATACAAATTGGATCCATATCTTCCACGCAAATAAAATTCCAGCTGCTGTACTCAAAAGATTAGACAATGTAATACCACCTCCATTATAATAAGCCTTCAGATCTAATTCTGCTGGTCTGGACATAGTACAGAATAGCCTGTACAGTCACAGACCAGCACATATAACTGACTTCTTGTCAGGTGGCCATCTGCCATTTCAGGACTATGTTCCTCGCGTGATGTTATCACTTTTGCTGGTTTGTCAAAGCCGGTTACAAGGGGGCACAGTAGAAATGAAAAATACTAATTGACAGACGTAGAGCAAAGAAAACCCTCGGGCTTGAAATGTTTAGACAAGATAGCACAGTACATTTAGGGTACTGATGTCGCAAGCGGGGTGTGTTTGCAACTAACCAATTAAATACTGCCGTGTGGACACAGAGACAATCATTAATCTGATGTGTGTATGTCATCATACGATGCAACTCGGCAGCACACCAATCTCATCATTGGTTTCTGCATACTTATTGATAGGTTCACATTTGAGCAGAATTAGCTAGGAATAGCACTACGAAACTTTTTCTCATCCCAATTTTTTTTTTACCTCTCTGCAATTTTACTTAAAAACAGGAAACATCATGATACGCTAATGCTGAAGATGAGTGCTGGAACACAAGTGTTGAATATAATTGAAGCCTCTGGAGACAGTGACAAGTAAAGCTTGAGTCACCTTGGGTTTTCCACATATGACGGGCTTACGTATTGTTGTTCATAATCAACTTTATCTTCTTATAAATTCCCCCCCGACCACGGACGGACGTATATAAAAAACCTGGACTTGCAACGCCTTTGTATGAAAAAGAGCCCAACCAGCGGCCATTTTACTGAGCTGAATACAAAAGCATGGGAAGAACAAAGGCAGGCACTGCCAGGAAAGCTTTGTATTCGGCTCGGTAAAATGGCCGCGAGTGGATTCAATGACTGTATAAGCTGATTAAGGGCATTGCGAGTCCAGATTTTATTATACACGCCCGTTCCCCTGACCCCTAGTAAAATCATACTGAAATTGGAGAATTGGAATAGTAATGATAACCTGTTCAATATACACCGCAATTCAATTTTCCATCAATTCCATCGGTTTAAGTGGCATCATATAACTGCTTCTCACCTGTTCTTCAAAGATCCTGGCAAGCGGTGCGCAATCAGTTTTGTTGATGAATTTGACCACCTCGCTGGTGGTCCATTTGAGCGGGTTGGAAGCAAGTTGCAGCCGGTCATCTGCCTTGTTGTCTGTCAAAAAGGCCTGCGCAGGTAAACAAATTCAAATGGACAATACAATTACATGTATTGTGGGATGAGCAATTGAATCTATAATCCAGAAAGTTCAATTGAATGCAAAGAAAGGTTGCAAGAAATTCTGTGAAACATGATTTGATGCACCAATGTACAATTCAAATCACATACATATAAACTTCTTTCCATTCTGCAAATGATGGCCACAGAAAAACATGTCCTGACAATATGCCAAAGCGGACGGCAGGTTTATCCCGTGACTCATTGGGATGCCAAAATGGAACTTCAAGTGGTGTTTAATCCCCCCTTCCAAATGCACAATTTCTCTCTGAGCACTGTTTATTTATCTGAAGGAAGATGATGTTGTTATCTCTTATTTGCATGTTCAAGCAAGTGACTCTGGTGCCAAAAACACACGAAAACCCTTTGTTCAACCCTGTGTTAATCTGGGCATGGCCTGCTGTTGGATTTTTTTCCCCTTTTCTTGGAAATGTTTCTGACAAATATTTGTGAAATATTAACAATGACATTACATCAAGTGCACTCCAGAGTGAACAGAAAATTAAACCTTCAATTTTCACCATCTGTCTTCTCCCTTAAATAAAGTGGAGATCAACGCACATTCACAAAATGAAAATTCTGAAAATGATACAGTTGTTTTGCATATGTATTGCGCTTTGTAAATATTATGTTTTCGGTTAGTTTTGGGTGAGATGACCTTTAGGTTTTTTCAAACTTATTTTTTTTTCATGATCGGGAGTTCTAAAGATTTTCTATTGACATGTCAGTATCAAGTCCGACACTCCATCAACAGCTCGATATGCCGCTTGTTTTAGTTTCTATTTGCATAACCTGCACGGCTTTTGCAGTTATCCAGCCTCAACACAAACACCATTGTACTTAGCCATCTTGCTTCAAACAAACATATCCTAGCCAGTTCAGCTCCGTCTAATCTGCCCGCTTTCGATACATGACGCCAAAGCAAAATGTCAAGACTGGAAAACACCGAGTTCAAAATAACATGCTGAAGCTGACTTGTTGTTTAAGTCTCCAGTTATCTCCCAACTGAGATAGAATCTGTCATCTGATAGTTTGTACAAGATTGCATCCAGAGGTGGGATTCACTTGGAAAGGTGGGATATCCCCCCCCCGCCATCACCCCCTCCCATGTAGGTCAGCCTATTGATGAGTGTCATGGATGCTGTGGGAAGCGATAATAGGCAGGAAAGAGATCGCTGAGATGGAGCGGATGTACATACTGGGGAGTATCTTTGAATTTCCAGTCAAACTGCATGCACTCTATTTTACGTGTGCCAAGGTTTCAATTCCGTATTTTTCCCTTGAAAGCTTTGGTTTTGCTTTCAGTTATACAGTGAATCACGTTCTATACTTCAACGGATTCTGCACTGTTTTGAAGTGAATACAAAGGTTTGCCTGTTCAGCTAAATAAAAGCATTCTGGAAATTCTACCCCTTAAAGTGAATGAAATAAAGAGAAAAAAGAAGTCATTCACAAGGTATCTTTTTTCAAAACTGAATGGAAATAAAATCCCACCCAAATATGGTCTTCTGAATGAAAATATCAGCAGGGAGAAGTCATTCAAAAATTATGTATTCTTTTCGGCAAAATTTAGAACAAACAATTTCTAGTAAACGCTTATGGATATTTGACACTGATGAATTCAGTTTAGATATAAAAAGGAACCTCTAATCTTGGCTATGTGACTGCATATAAATAACCTCAAAGGTTACTGCACTAACTTTACTTGATGGCAATGTGTGGCTAGGTACAGCTTAAGAGGACACTTTCTTTTGTTAGGAGAGTCAAAGCCATATTGTAGGGGCAAAAATTGGTTACCATGATGTTTTTCTGACATGTGCATTCTCCATAACCCGGTAACCAGTACGTGTGTAAGTGTGCAAGACGACTTCCAGGGGTGATACCGGAGGAAAAGGAAACATCCCCAAAATAGACACCAGAGGGCGCTACAGCAGCAGAGGGTCTATGGTATAAATAAATTGGTGTTTGCCTACATCTACTAGCGCCTCGTAAAACTGCCATTTGGGGGGGCTCTGTGACAACTTTTGTCAACAAAAACACCTCAATGGCGATATCACAATTTTTCCAGTTGTTTCAAAAATCCTGAACACCTGATGGAAAAATCCTGAAATCGGGAAAATCTTGACAGATCTCACCCCTAAACTTCTGTATATCAACTGAACTTGCATTATAGAGAGAAGTTAATTTTTAACTAAGTCAAATGCTGAAATAATGATGTCAACTGTACTGAAGTTTTAACTAAAATCAACTTTTCAATAAAACTCCTGGACAAACCAAATGAAGGTGAAGTAAGTACGCATAAATATATGTATGTGGGCATAATCAAAAGTCAAATTTCATGGAAACAACCGAACCGTAGGGTCAGTATATCATAAAGATTACTGGACCAGAACACATTAACCACTTGCCGCTGGGGATTCCGGTTTTGGGCACGTATTTTTTATATGCGTAGCCGGGGTCTCCAAAATCGTACAAAGGGAACTGCGCCTTGTAACAAAAAAACGTACTCGTAACAAAAGGGAATTAGCAACATTTTTTCACTCTTAATAGTGGAGATATTCCAGCCTTGTTTTGAAACAGAATACCACGGTTTGGGGCATTCAGTGGAGGGGATTACTACCAGGGACAAAAGTGCTCCACCACCACCTCTGGCCCCTATTGAAAAGAGGTCAGCAGTGCACTGTGCCAGTTTCGTGAACAAAAAGAAAGTTACATAACACCGCACAATCTGGGCTCTTTTTACAAGGCAGCAGGCCTGGCTGGAATACTCCAGCGTCAATAGATGTTGTGTATCAGATTAGAGTAGGAACCAGACAGTCCTTCGTGTGGGTGTAAGTGTCCAGTAAATGAAGATGTGAATTTTAAATAATTTTGAAAACAGAGAGAAATGGAAATTATCCCGTCCCAACATCATCAACATTCATAAATGCCCCCAGCGTGATGTGGTTAAAAGACTGACATAATGCCAAATGTGAATATGAACTATTAATCTCTGTTTGCTGATTCGTCATTTTTGCTTCACAAAACTTTCAGAATAAATTACACATGTTGATAACTATGTAAAAAAAAGCACCTGACTGACGGGTTTTAACGGTATAGATGCTGCAAGTCAGACATTAAAATAACTGGCCTTGCAGCACCGGTTCAGTGGGTATTTTTAAACTTCAACCAATCAACATGTAACTCTATGCCTAACCAAATAAACCTCCCTATTAGAGTTCAATAAGTAACAGCACTACAGTCGTCGTTCTCTGTTTTGGAATGTGTGGACACATGAGAGCGCTATGACATCTTCGGAACATGAAGCTTTATCGTGAGTGACTTATAATGCTAGCACAACCTTCGAACCTTACTTGAAAAAATGTCTGAATTCCCATAGAAAATGGGTCCCCTCTCAAAAAAAAAAAAGTGGTTTTCGATCCACCTTAACTCGCTCTAAAACCCTTAGCACTTTTGCTAGGAAACTTCCTGAGCCTCAAAATGTCCTTCTTGTAAGGCCAAAAAAAAAAAAATAGTCGGTCTCTGGTCAGCGTGCATCGATTTTGAACATGCGCGTCAGTAGTTTTTGCCATTTTTTCTCAAAATTTTCAAAACAGCGCCCTCTATTTCTGCACTGCCTGAATGTTCACGAGTAGACTGATTTCCAGCCACAAGTCCATAAGTAGGAAGGGACTTGACATGGGTTT